CCCTGGCAGACCACCGCCCCCTCGACCGAGAGCAAAAAAAATCTCCAAAATAATCACGTCGTAAGAATCCCCGTTAGCGCTGTCTCCGCTCTTCTTTTTTTTCGGAGCCGAGACATTGGTCAGCACCTCTGCTGCCTCTGCCGTTTGTTGATCAGCAGCTGTTGCCGACGGGTCTGTAGCATTTTCCGCTACTTGAGCCCGCAGTTGTTTCTTGGCTTTTTTTTTTGGTTCGCAGTGAGAGCTGGGGTGAACCCGTCCGCACTAGCGGCCGCAGGGGCGGGAGAGTTAGTCTCCTTCTCCTCTTTCGGGTTGTGTTTTTTCACGCCAGACATCGTTTTCTGTACCGGTGTGTACCCGCGAACAGACTTTCGTCGAACGCCAATGATAATACCCTGCTCCGTTATGAGCAAAGGTCCCTGAAGTGGTGAATAACCGTTCACCAACGGAGGTAATTTCGCTCTTATTGCAATGTGGCAAGGAATGGCCAAGCGTGGCTGACGTTAGTCAGCCTTGCTAGGGTGAAAGGTGAGAGTGAGCTTCAGGTCTCGCTTCCACCCTCCGGCTCGTCACAGCAGACGGAGGGTCTTTTCGTTGTAAAGATCTTCAGACCTCGAGAACGCGTTCCTAGGGTCACGGATCTATACGGTTGTATGTGCGTCCCTACTACTCGGAAGATACCTATATCCTGGTTTCCACAATTGGGCATGTTACAACGGCAACGACAAAAACAACAGCAGTGCTCATCAGCAGGGATTTCCTTCCTCCCATCACGAGCCGCCCACCTTGTACGCCCCTTGGTACTGTGCAACCTCCTCTCCCATGAGAAACACCCTCTCGTCCCGGCCCATTTCCTCGTCAAGCCCCTGGTTGATGGCCTCCCTTACGGCCACCTGTCCCAAGCAGAAAAACAAAAAAAGTGCAACGAGAAAAAAGCAAACTCGTGGCACAGCTCAACAAAAAAATCAGGGATGAAGCATGAACAAAAAATTGCGCGGAAAAAACACGAACTTTCGAAAGAGCAGACGCTTTGACAAGGCACGAGAAAGCGGACAATTTTGCGATTGACAAGCATGGGGATATTGTTTGTGCTGCCAGAGCAAAGCACGACTCGAGTTATCAAGCACGGCGTGACGGAACGGTAACTGTCGTCGGCATGTTTGGACACCGTTGAGAGATAATTTATCACAGGAACGATGGGGTCGTGTCGTCCACGGCTGTTATTTAGCTATTTAGGCGCTGCAAACCAACAAGCCTTCAGTGCGGACATCGCCACATGTTCGTCTGAGAGACCGATACGGTCTCTAGAGGTCTCACAGAACGGAAAAAAACAACGTGAAACAATGAATGATCACTTTCAGTCCGAAGGCCTGAACCACGCACTTTTGTGAGCTGAACGCCCGAGACGCGAGAAATCACCCCATCGACCGTCCTGCACTACTTTGGAAGCCCTCCCATCGACCGTCCTGCACTACTTTGGAAGCCCTCCGCAAGTTCGGGTACCCTTCTAAACGCCCGCGAGATGGGGGGGGGGGCGTTTAGGCGGTGAGACTGCCATGTTCGGGCTCGACTGCCTTGGTCAAGCCGGTAACGTATTTCGCAGAGGGTGTTGTACCCTACTTCGGCCGTTACCCTATAACCTGACGCCATTCCAACCAATCGCTGTTGAAACCGTACTCCTGCACCGAACACAGGCGGCGGGTGCCTCGCCTGTACCACACTTCTCTACAAGGTGCCTGCAGAATCTCTGTCTTCTTTTTCTTGGTTTAGCGGCCCGGCCGGGGGATGGCTAGATGGCAAGAGAGCTGCCACAACGTGACAAGTGCATACACTCGAAAACAAGATTGGTTCCCTGCCACTACAGGCCACGACACGCACGCATTTCTCACAAGCCTACCTCGATTGTCCCCATCGACCGCTTTGCTGGCTGCCGCCATCCCGCTGCCGCCGCCGCCGATGACTTGAGAGGCAAACGAGAACAAAAAAAACATGAAGGGTTCATCAGCAGGGTCACCGAGAGAAGGAGCAGTTCCGGGTGGGTGTACATGTGGCAAAACTTTACCCTCCCCAACAGCAGTAAGAAAGCTCCCACAGAGTTGTAGACAGCAGTTCTGTCAGCGGCGGTGAGAGGGCATGTGCAGTCCCTCGGCTGCGTGAGTTGGACACTCGTGCCTATGACATGTTCACCGGCAAGAAACAGAGCATGTACCGCGTGACGCGACCGTTTTGCCATTGCACGACATGTTCACACGCTTCCCGCGCGGCAGAGCAGCACACTAGTTATGCACTTTGTTCAAACTCCGTGCGGACGATTTCCGACCAAAGTGCGGGGCATCTCCAGGCTGTGCACTGGTAGAACCAGAGCAGTAGTGCCGACCGTCGCTTCGTGACGGTGGGCGTTAGCGGGGGGTCGGGTCGTGGGCTCGCTTTTTTAGGTCCCACAGCAGGGTATGATGTGGTGCGGTGCGCCAGAGGACACGACGCAATCAACTGGTGCTGCTGTGCCTGTACCAACTTGACGGCACAACGAGGTCACCACAACAGGCTGGACAACTCCCACAACGTGCATGTCAGTGACGTCTCCCGGCAGATCGAGACGGCTGCCATCCTGCTATCCTGCTGCTGCTGTGCTGCTGGTTTTCGCGAAGTTGCCTCTAACGCGCCGCTGCACGCGAGCACTACACTACTCGCCGTGCGCAGACACCCTGCCACGAAAACACCGTCGTGCCTCCCGTAACCAATAGCAGTCACGGGTAAGTTCTGGTGCGACTCTCATGTGACTCCCGACATGTGTCGGGCAAACCACAATCCGTCCAAAGTGATCGGCAGTTGACGCACCAAAGCCGAACACTGCTACGGCTGTGGGCACGCAAATACCACGTTTTTCTCGAGCAAGAACTTGTAGACAAAAGTGGCGCTGGTTTGATCACGCCATCCATGTTTACTCACCAAGCTTGGTCGTACCGTGCGTTGCAACGTCGCAAACATCGTTCTCCCAACTAAGAGCAGAGCCCCTCTCTCCAAGACTCGGTTGGTAGCGTGCGGAGAGCTCGGGCAGCTGGACCGTGGCGACTGCTAAGTACCGCCCAACTTCGTTTCAAGGTTTCTATAGTGACGGAAGGCGTGTCCAATGGCGTTACATTTTTGAAATATTTTTTTTCGAAAAGAAGGAAAACATGCAAGTCGAGGACGAGCACGACGAACGCAATGACCCGATCAGTGTTCATACAGAACACTTTGTATTGTAGAGTACGGCTCGCTTGTGGGATCCATGTTCCGAATCTATGGTTCGGAACATTCTACGCAGAATGTATGGGTGTCTCGATCTTAAAATCGCGGGTGGCGCCTGGTCCTTACATGATGTACTTGTATGTACCTCCTGTACAAGTATAACGGGAGAGAGCCACGGCCGGCTGCAGGATAATAGCAGGCTGTCGCTCAAATGAGGCGGTCTTGTCGACACTATGCACAACATCACCCTGCACCATCAGCAACGAGGGGCAGGTGAGATATCGTGTGTACAGGTATTGGCTATCCGTGAGCATTCTTGGTTTCTCTTGTAGATATCCATATGTATTATCGTCATATAAACACGCATCCCATCTCAGACGAAGATACTGCTGTTGTATTTGTAGCTGCAACTCGCGTGAAGTTCCGTATACTGTATCCGGACAAACCGAGCATGCTATGCATCGTGAAGCAACATCTGCAGATGAGCGCGTCCATATGACACAACATGACGACAAAAGGGGGCATGCAAAGGAAACCAGGTGCGTTGGGCATAGATATCGATGTCGGATGGTCTTGTGCAAGTCCACATCTGTACATTCGTAAAACCTTCAACTATCCCAAACATAACCAGGGGAGTGCTAGGACAACTCTTTGCTTGTTCTACATGATATTGTGCGTATATGACGCGATGTCCTTCACCGATAAACATATAACAGGCATCCTTGCCGTCCGCGTGTCAACGATCGGAGCCGCCGACGAAAAATATTGGGCAACTGTCGAAGAGCACCTGAACGGTTCTTCTAAGCTTCAACTACAGGCGAACTTTGGGCCAGGCAGCGCGGGGGTGTTCATTCCATGGGCAACCGCCATCAATACACAACATGCCGATTCGGGAAAATTGCAGAGAGATGCCAAGGTGATATATTACCACGCACTTGCGTTTCACCACCGCTGTTCTGGACGCCCTTGGACAACACCTTCCGAATGCGTTGAGCTGACACCAACTACAGTCTACAGAAAAACTCAGCATCTGCGCGGCGCGTACCTTCCATGTTTTCATACATTTTCTGGAATATGGACTCTGCTGTTTCTTTTGCCCGCGAGTGCCCCATCTTTGCCGGGGCTTTCTTTTATCCTGCCCTCTACACCTGTATAGAAGTGCTTAGAGGAAGCCAGCATCGAGTCCTGGCAAGCCGAAGGTGCCAACTAACTCTGTAGATAGCTGACTTTAGATTTAGAGGGCGTGAGTTTCGATGTTTCGATAGCACTGACTCTCTTGGTGAATCCTCTTCGTCCGCATGTTTTTAATTTACAGCTTCACCTACCGTACTTCAATCTGGCGGACGGAGCAAAGTCAACCGACGCGTCGCTCGTACTAAAGGTCATAATCCAGAACCATTCCTCCGACCAGGGGCATGCTTCAAGGAGCCCCGAGGATGATGAGCCTTCCCATAGCTCTTCTTCCTCGGCCACCGACAACTGGGAGCACCAAAATCGAGCCAACGTAGCGCAGCGGAAAGCACTGTCTCTGACGACTCTTGCGACTGGCACTCTCGACGTTCAGACGGGCCTGACGACTACTTTCAGCCGCTTGGCGGCAACATCAAAAGAACAGTGCGTCGTTCCACTCACCATCCTGGCGAAAGAGCGTTCGGCTGCTTTCCTTTACCGCGAACTTCCGGGCTCGATCCCCGTCGCGGTGGAGCTCACCTTCTCCAAGACCGGGCTCGATGACGCTGATGCCGATGAGCCGCAGCCAATCGAACGAGCCTTGCCGGGTACAGGAAACGGTGCTACCGTGCCGACAGTCTTTGTCGTGGCGACGACCCTGTTCGACTGCTCTACGGCAATGAAGGATGCGGAACTTCGACTATACGTTCGGTGCGGCGGTGCCCGGACAGCGTCAAAAATCTCTTACAGGAGAACCGGTACCATCGGTAAGGGACCTTTCATAGCTGGTTCGCGACGTCAAACGTAAGCCGTGACCTACCGTACTCTCTCACATTTTCGTGTGTCTAACCAGTTGGTGGATGCCGTCCGAACACTCTCGTAGTGGGCAGCTACAGTAGTATTGTGGGTTTTGCACAAGAAAATAAGAAGGAAGTTCGGGACTGCATGTTTCCTAACAGCGCAAACTCCGCACTTGTTTCCCGCCAAAATGTTCTTGGCCGCCGTGCTTGCTGAAAGTTGTGCACGAGAGCTTCGAGTGGAACATCAGCGCGGATTTGAGCGCTCTCTTCCCTCCTGTAGACCAGCAGAGGCGCGCACCGTCATGTTCCTGCGCACCGTCATGTTCCTACTCGGATGGAACTCTAGCCATCGCTCTCGTCGACAAAGTTACCACTACCGATCACGGTGAGCTCCCTGTTTCTCGCCGCAAACGGATACATTCAGCCCACAAGATGGAACGCTTTACCGTAGGAGTATTGGAGCTGTCTCAGGAAGAGATAGAGTCTTGTGGAACGGCAGGACGGTGGTATCCTCTTAGAGCTGGCTTCAGCAGCACGGATCGCAAAGCACATGGTGCTGGAATAGGAGTCGTGGGAGAAGCCTTGGTTGCGTTCGCCTGGATGCAGCAGGGGCCTGCAACGGCCGCCCTTCCGAGAGACCCGATCCATCACAACCGCAACATCATGTCTCGAAAACGGCCTCGAGGAAAACGAAAGGAAGGAGCACCGGGCAGAGACTCTGCGAAGAAAACTCCGCAAAGCAAGAGAGCCGAAGCCAGCTGCGGTGGAAACTCGGATGCGAGCAACATCACTCGACCGATAGCGGGGCATGATAGTGTCGATATCAACGGCTCTTTGCAACAGGAAACCCTCATGTATATCCACGTTTGGGATGCCTTGTTGCCCCTCGCTTGGTCGGGTTCTGCAGTTTACTTGACCGTTCGCCTATGTTGCCCGGGGTCACGGGTCCAGCGAGTCTCTACAAAGCCGGCGCGATGCCGGGGAGGGCCAAGCACGAACGCAACAGCATCGGGCAGCAGCAGCAACAGCAGCAGTCGTTGGACAAGCAGAAGCAGTCGGGCGGGTTCCGTGCACGTGGTATGGGACGAGCACCTGACGTTGTCAGCCGCAGACCTTCTCGAAGAAGGTGCGGTGGTCGAGCTGCTGGTGCGAGACGCGTCCGTGGACAAAGGGGTGGCTCTAGCGACTCGCGAGGGGGAGCCAGTCCAAACTTTCGCGGAGCGGAACAAACCCGTACGGGTAGGGGAGACGGCATCTTTGTCGAAGGGTGATACGGCTCCCGCCTTCCGTCTTCCAGGCCCGGTGATATATCGCTTGAGGCTGCAGTACCCTCCCGGAGACATGAACGATACCTCCGAACCGATATTGAAAGGAGACCGCACAGAGGGAAACCATGTCGGATTCGGTGGGGTAGAGGTGCGCATGGCCGGTCTAGTTCTTGAGAGAAACCGTATCGATTACGACGACGACGGAGAGAAAGCTTTTCTCCAGCGAAAGGCTGACGTCGCTAGGATACCGCGACGGTTGACCACCGTCGGCGGTGGTGGTGGTGATGGTGCATCGTTTTCCAATCGGACGGTTGTCCCAACGCGCGAGATGCGTCGTCCGGGGCAACGTTCTCGATTGCTCGACCTTTCCGCAGCGAATGGCCTCTTCCATAAGTTTGCCGGGGATCAAGCTGGCGGGAGAACATCGTCTGAAGCAGCTGTGAACATTAGTTCGCCGTCACCGGGGACGGCAACAGGCGGAGATGAAACAAAAACGAGCAGACAATCTAAACCGGGGGACTTGAAACATTTTCGGGAGCGGTTTCGTTCGTCTTCTGAACCGGTGCTCACAAAAGAGAGCCTAAGCCTCGTCGCTCAACAGTACTTTCCAGGACTCGCAGAGCAGCCGGACTGTAGTGGTGCAGTGGCGGACACGACAGCGACGTCGCGACACCTAAGCGGGGACCACTCAGCCGCAAAGGCCAGCGACGAAAATCCTGGCGGCATAGGTTTCACCGAGTTCGTGTCGTGGCTCCGGAGTCTCCCTGAAGCAGACCTCGGAACCGCTGGACTACTCGTCAGCCCAAGAACAGCGCTCCACAATACCGGAGTAGTCATGGACGAGGATGTCGAGCATGCTCGAGAACTAGCCGCTGCGCTAGAACTCGCTAGAGAGCCGACGGCGATGTTGATAGGAGGATGGTGCTCGGTTCCCCTTCGGAGTACCGTGGATGCGATAGCACTCGAACGGGTGCGGCTTGGGTGGGGTCCAGGGGGAAGTGAAGACCGAGATGGAGACGAAGCAGCGGAAATGGCGTGGCGGCGCCACATGGAAATGCTTCGACGGGACGTTGGGGTACTGAGCAAGGCGCTGGCTGAACTCGAGCACAGGTGCGGCGACCCGACGGTGAGCAAAGGGACCGAGAGTATCGATATTAGCGATCCCGATCACGGTGTAGGCGATGATCCGGCCGGAAGAACGAAGGAAGAACCGGCGAACGTCTTACCTGAAGAAGAATGTTCGCCAAAGCTCGAGGTGGACGGCATGCTGCCGACGGTAGGCGAAGGGGCCGTGGCCACACATGTCAGGCCCAACAAGGTGGAGGCGGGCGTAGCGCAAAACGAGCCAGATTCCTGCTCAATCGCCGCCGTGTATATAGGCCAGCAGGCTACCCGGCTAGCCGCTGGCGCGGAGCACCTGAAAGAAGCACTGAGATGTGCCGGGGATGCGTTGAGCTGCAACGCCACGCACATCATAGCCCATCCATCTTCGGGTGGAAGACATTCTCGCGCCCGAATGGATTCTGACAAAAAACGGTCGCGAGGTAACGAGCGTACAAATCGGACCGAGCTTTCGTCAGGGCCATTTTCATACGCAACCAACGAGGCGCAAGCGTATCGCCACCACCAACAGCACGGCCTTCTACTACGGCACATCAAACAGGTGACGTCTTTTCAGGCAGAAATCGCATCTTTCCAGCGTCGCGCCGCCGCTCTAGCCCCTCGAAAAACGGAGGAACCCGTGCCACTTGTGCAGTGGCAGGGCGGTGACTTCGGCTACAGCGGTAATGGTGCCTCGTGCGGCGCAACAGAGACCCCTCGATCAGGCCTGGCGCTGGTCAAGCGGATTCGTCGCGCTCAAAGCGCGGCCCGAAGGCAGACGCCGGGCGAATCTACTCCGGGCGCCATCGCCACTGGAGAAGAAATCCTACCGGCGCTATGCAACCAAAGTCACGGCGATGACTCCGCAACGTCGTCGGACGCCAACGATGATCGTGACTCATCAGGTGGAGAGGGTGCTACGATTACGAAAGAGCAACCACGTCAAGAGGGCGGTCCTTCTGCTGGGGTCCCAGACCCCGAGGAGGACGGGAGTATGGCCCTAAGTTCAAGCCACGCAGAATCTCTTTTCTCCCCACGGACACCGTTCGACATGCTTCGGAACCCATCTTTGCCGGAACTTCTCCGGGAAAGGCTGGAGAGTATTCGAACCGCGTTCCTCGATAGCGCTACCGATCTGCCCGCGTCTTACCCTCGAATCGCCGAACGGGTACTAGATATGGCAAGCGGGAACGCGACATGCACGACGAAATTGGTAACCCCAGCCGCCGTTTGCTGTCCGATCGACAGGTGAGGTGTCCTACTCGAAACTGCTACACCGCGACGGACCTTCGCCTGGCCTTTCCCTTCAACTCGAGGAATTTTTAGTTACCTCTGATGATACAATTTTGACCAATTCTCCCTCAGGCGATCAAGCCTCATGTGCAGCAGCAGTAAACAGATCCTCAATCCATAAAACCATTCAATCCGACTTTCTCCCCACCAAACGGCGCACGCAGGTTTGCTCTACACGTGTTCCGAACTGCCGGGGCTGCTGGCGAGGCAGGCAGCACGGTGTATACCGACGTGCAGGAGCTCGCCGGCATCGGCGGTCTCGACACGCAAACCTCCGAGAACTCCCTGTGGAGCGCGGCGGCACGGGCTGGAATCGTTGACGTAGAACGATGGGTCGTCGCTGCGGTGCTATGGCAAGCCGCAGACGCTGTGGCCTCCACCGACAAAAGCTGCGTGCCAGCTGTGCAAAGTCCGTGGTCAACAGAGGGCGCAACAAACGTCATGGCTGGAGACGATACATCAGACGCGGAAGCGGTATCGACCAAGGCAATGTCGTTGTGGGAAGAGCTGCGCGACGAGGCGTTTCGATCGGTGCTGACCCGCAGCAGTAAGAACCAAACCCATGGTACGGTACCGAACGCAGAACCGAGTACTTCCTCCCCGGCAAAGGCCGGCACTCTGTCGACGCCAAGAAAACACGATCATCAACGGGAGGGGCCTTTGGTGCTCGTAGGAGAGGACGTGGTTTCTCATCGCGTGGATCGACGTGCTCTGCAGCGGTATGAAGCCTTGAGGTCGGTCCCCAGTTCTTTCGACCATGCTCTGACGAGGACACTCGTCCTAGCAAGTGGTACCGGTGCGGAGGCGGCAGCGGCAGCGGCAGGAGCAAGTCCGACGGCGGGTGATAGGGCATCAGGGGACTCGGGCGTAGGCGGGTCTCTCGACTGCGTGGAAGATATCTTGCTGCACAACTTTGTCGTCGCGGGGTTCGTCGACGGGTCGTGCTTGAGCGTGTCTGATATCGTCGACGCCGTGAGCGCACGTAGGCAGAGGGTTGCTCTGACGGCGACAGCCGGCGGGCCTATTTCAGGTGGTGATAAGGAGGGCATGGACAACGGAGTTGTGTCGGACGAGAATGGACACCGACCCGCGAAACCGCAAGCGTTAACAGAATTACCCGAAGACCATCGCCACCGCTTGTCGCGCGGTGAACCGGTTCCCCGGGGAGAAACGCTGGCCGCAAGCGTGATCAAGGGGGAAGAGGAACCTATGAGCGACGACAATGCTGCTACTATTTCGTCCATGTTGGAGACAGACGTGGAATCGCGTCTTCTGCTTGGAATCCCCGCCGAACTGCGGGGGCTCTTTCGGGCTGCCACTCTCGCGGGGGTTGTACGCAAAAAACAACAGCAACAGCAGCATGTGAGTCACGCCAAGGTTTCAAGAATGAGAATGTATCGCGTCTCGTGATTGCTTGCCTACCTTGCTGTTCGCCGGAGTTATGCCTCGTTGCACCACCAAGACCGGCGTTCAATCGCACCTCTTTTTTCAGGGTCACCAAGGAAGCCTAGAAAAGGACGAGCTGGAGAATGCTGAACGGGGAATCTTGCAAGTCCTGGACAGCAACCGGACCCTCGAAACGGCCCCCTTCTCGGGAGGGAGGACAGCCTTACACCACGCCGCCGCACGGGGCGACGAGTTTTTGGTTCGCTTGCTCCTCGATCGAGGGTGTAAACCCCATCTACAGGTAAGGATATGCTGCTCACATATTATATCGTCCTATTGGGTATGCAGAACACGCGCACAGAAATTCTGAACGGCGCGAGACAATGATCGCCTACCTCCAAGTCTCCAATAGTTAAGATGCATTTGCCTTCGCCTCTCTGTTCTCACCACCAAATATCGTTTGTTCAGGACTTTGAAGGGAAGCGTGCTTCCGACCTTACTCGTGACTTGAAGTGCCTCCGTCTGCTGGGCGCGCTGAAGAAGGGGTGCGAGCCTTCCGCCGTCTCTCTGCGCGGAAGAAGGCAAGATGAAGAAGCCGCCACAGCAAGCGGCGAGAAGGAGGAGCGGGCCGGCGAGAAACCGTTGAGCAGAGCGCGAGCCATGGCCAACGTAGAGTTCGCCGTGTCGTTCCGACTTCGAGGGGACGAAGAAACTGTCGGAGGCACTTTGGGGGATACCGTCCGATCTGATGGTTCCAGTGAAACTCCTCGCGACTGGAAACAACATGAGCGAGCCGAGGATGAGCAAATCAGAATCATACATAGACGAGGAGCGTGGGTGAATGGTGTTGCCCGTTCATACGACCTGAGAAACAAGGTTTTGCTCATCGACGAAATCTACCCAGAAATAGGTCCACGCGGCACAACTGCAACTGCTCACCCCACTATCGACAGCAGCGGATCGGCCGAAAACGAAACAGGAGGAGCGATTTCGACCCAAGGACAGCTACCCGACGAGGAACAACTACGAGATTGGAGAAGCACCGGAGGAGAGCGGCGAAGTTACCGCTGTTCCAGACACGTGCTCGACGTGAGACTGCTATCGAGCCTGTCGCCTCAGGGGGAGGAACTGTTCAGCCAACTCCAAGAGTTATCCTCCGCGTTTAAGACGGACTTGGCGCGCGCCTCACTCGATGTGGCTGTCGACGCGGCGGCTGCCCTGGGTGCATCGTGCCGGCTGATACTGGACGGTCTCGTCGGTGAAATTGTGGAGGACGAAGTGGTTCGAGAAGCGTGCCGAAACGAGAGCCTTGTCGTCGTCACCCAAAACACGGCCGCGGTTGTCGTTGCGGGGGTCTTCCGAGCAGCTCAACGCGCAGTCGTTCGAGCTGGGCGGCTTTCGTCGGAAGCGGTGCTGCCGAATGGAGGGGAAAACGACGGCACGGTGGGTGGCAACGCCGAGACCGGACCGAAGAAGCTTGGAGCGTCCATTTCAGTTGCCAGCCTGGCAAACGCTGTTCACGGTGGTAACACTCAGAGAGCAAGCCCCGTTGTTGCCGACAAGAGTATCGCCGCAAGGATGCGATTCAGTTGCACGACCATCGTCAGCGAGAGGCGACACACGGCCGCCACGGTCGTAGCAGCAGCAGCTGCGTCGGGGACGAGAGAGGAGTCAGCGGCAGACTCAAGTTCCGACGTGATCCGGCGGAACAAAAAACGGCGCAATTTGCAGTACATGGCGAGGTGGACGTGAGTGCATAGAAAACATCGAACTCCGATATGTGTGCCTCGGCGTACAACAGCCCCGAGACGCACCCCCAACTCCCCGCGTTGCTCACATCATTATCTGATTTCTTCGCCGAAAGACGACGGCGACGTTAAGCTCGATTCAGGAAGCCTGTTATCGATCAAGATTGTTTTTTGCCTACATACGCAGCAACCGTGATCGCACGTCACCTTGGTTAAATACTACATCGCATCTCCGGCCTACTCACCACCCCCGCTTCCTCGCAATGCTTTCTGTGACACTACTGCAGGGTGGAAAACGGCGTCAGCACCGTAGTCGTGCGCGGCCGATCGTACCTAGACGCCGTAGGCGCGGAAAAGAGGGGAGGCAGTGGGAATAAACCGATCAACCTCGAGGGCCGTGATGCCGGCATACAGCGCGTCCTCGATCACCACGGGGTGACTCTCTCGGCATGCCTCCAGACGTTCGATGTGATGCAGGTAACGAAAGGGTTCATACGACACAGGTCGGAGTTCTATGCTGTGTACTCGTGCTTTGACCTCCGCCGGGACCCGATGAGGGAACCTCGCGTGTTGTACTTTGTAGATCATCCCAAAACAGTGCGCTTGCTTGTCTTATGGGGGAGCGGCCATTAGCTCGCTCGGAGTTCGTCGCCCACGGGCGCAGTCCATCTCTAGGTGCGAACCTTCGTCAATAAAAAGAGATGTCCGACCGCGTTCGTTCGTATTTTTGTGTCGTGCGTTGCTTTGCAGGACATGGAAGATGCAAACATCGTTCTGGAAATGCTTGCCACGGGCATCTGCCAGGTGACGATAACCCTTACCACGTTTCATTAGGGGCTGTTGAAGGTGTATGTTCAAGGCTCCATGGCCTCATCCTTCTGCCGGCCGAGGATGGAGCACTACGTTTTAGAACAGACCCCGCACGAGACGAATCTTCCACAAGTACCCCCTAGGCACATTGTTTGTAGGCAAAGGCATGTTCATGTGCACCATAGGGCGTTTCTAACCTCGCCACTTCGTCGGCGATTCGATTCAGTCTCGAGTCTCCAACATGATTGAATAATACCAGGGTGTGGTCAGGTCCGTCGCCACCGCTGCCTCCATTGAACAAACAAGCTCAAATGTAAGCACGTCATGCGACACGTACGGTACCAGTACGTCGTTCATCTCTCATGCGGATCGATGCCCCCTTGACTATTCACACTTCGACCCAGTGACAATTGCTCATTTCCTTCCTGCGTATTTCCATTTCTTCCGCTAGCTGAGCGTACGGTATCTCGAGGAAGGCGTCGAATTCGCCAGCCTTCCCCAGTCTGAGCAAGACACCATGAAGGCCGACGTTCTCAGTCAACTCTACCAAGCGACCAGCCACAGCCCGCGGACTGTCCCGGAATGGGACGAGTTAAAAATCATGATACAGGCATACGGCGGGGTCACGTCAGTTAGCTTATCGCGAACTGACGAAAGCAGCAAGACGCCCGTCAGCGACGGAAAACAGGACCTGGTGGTGAGCTCGGTGACGAGGGGAATGGGGTATGCACGGACGGGGAGTGTGAATGACGGAGTGGCGGCGGGAATGCGTTGGCAGTTTTGTTGCTTGCACTTGACGTTTTTGCGTGTGGGGCAGCGGTGTTGAGAGTGCTGCCTGGAGTGCTTGTTGCGGGACATAAAGGGTGAGTCTGAAGAGGAAGTGCCTGTCATTGTCGTGGGATATGTGAAAAAGAAAAATGATATTTTGACAAGTGTTTCGTCTGGAGAACACTAGAGGCTTACAAGAGACGACATGGCGTTGCTTCAAACAGAACTAGAGATCGATGTGTTTTTCGTGGAAACGCTTTCCATACGGTATCTACGAGCAACCGGCAGCTACAACCTCGTGCGGCAAACGTCCACAACCCTGTGCATGACGTGAGCACATACGACCGCCGATGACCTCCCACGTTTTGGTTATGTCGAATCAATGTATGTCATCTCGTTCAGGTGTCTGCACCCACCACGGCCGGATGGTTCAGCACGGACGAAGTAACGGCTGCGCTGACATCTCCACCAACACTGCAAGATAGCTTGCCCACGGCCACCGCTGCTTCCTCTTCTTTCGCCGAACCACTACCACCGTCCGCCGTGAATCTTGTCGTCACGCTGATGAGGTGCAACCCTTGCGAGGTACTGGGCTCCCTATGTCGAGGGATCGATACCGACGGCCGAATTGCCCTCATCGGCCGGGTCGAAAACGGCGGCGCTAATAGTCAAGCTTCTGCTATTGACACTTCCGGGGGCAGGGCAGGGGGGAAGGGAGGTGGGGTCAACGATGGTTGCGCGTTCCGCTGCTCTTTGGAAGTTGCGTGGGACAAAGATGAGGGCGGGGTGTTCGTGCGGCGGTTCAGCATGGAACGTGACGAGAAAAGACCGAGGTGTGTGTTGGCTAACCGCACGTGCGTTTCACTCCTGGATGTGTTCATAGATTCCCACGTTCTCGAACTATGCATACGCCGAAAATGTGTTGAACGCTTTGCCTGCACTCTAACAAAGGTGCAAGATGTGGGTGACCTTGAGACGGCCTCCAGACAATAACAACAGCAGGCGTCAGTTGGTGTCATCAACATTCGAAAGAGAGTTTCGCTCTCATTCTCTTGTGGCCAACTCATCTGCATCATTCCCGAAAAGCTGCAGTTTCTGTCCAAAGAGTCTCATTGTATCACGTAAATCTTCCCCCACTTCGCCCTTCTCCTCTGCTTGTGTTCTGTCGGAAAAACGGCGGCGCCCACATCACTACCACCAACGCCACCTTCGCGTTTCAGTTTCACCCTCCGAGCGGTGGGAATCCGAGGATTTTCGATTGCTCAACTCCCGGTCACCCTCGCGGACATTGATGAGGTCGAGGATCAGGGAGGCATCGACGACACGTCTGGGTCAGACACAACGACAAGTCACGGTCGCTCGCGAGGGTCAACGAACTCGTCCGTCACCACTCTGCGCTCCTCGCAAGGAGGCAAGGGACAACCTTCCCCGCCAGCGAGCAGCGTGGCGGGCTCGGCGAAGTCAGTAAGCACAGAAGAATCATCAGAACGGGCCACACATTCTGCGACATTGGTGCAGTCAGCAGCACCAGCAGAGAGGGGTAACTTGATTCAATCTGCAGCGGCGGCAACAGCGACAACATCAAGAACAGCAACAAGTGCGGCATCCGTATCAGCAGAAGCGCCCTTGGCAAAGTTTAGTTCAGCCCAGGATGAAAGCGAAGAAAGCTCGCAGAAACCTGAAACGACAGCAGCAGCGGCGACGGCGACCGCGGCGGTGGCGGCGGGGGGCATAGCACCACGTGGCACGGGTGAGGGTGATGATGATTTTTCATGGACTTCAGACCAGAGATTGCGATATGATGGAGAGGAAACTAGTGAAGACCATGGCCGATCGATGCGAGAGGACAGGATTGTGGAGTCCGTTGCAAAAGAGAACCTTGACCAGCCAAGTGAAGTCGCGATCAATGATGCCACCAAGGGCGTCGTATCTAAGCAGGAAGGGCGTCGCGGTGCCGCCGGTGCCTCTTCCCCTGAGGCTCAAGTGGACACAAACGATGCCGAGGGTAGCAGACAGGCAGGTTCGGAGGTCGTAACGACGAACGAAAAGCCTGCCTCCGGAGGTGGTCTCAACGAGATGGCGGAAGCAAACATTGACGATAGGAGCAGAGGGCAGGGAGAGACGGAGGAGGTAAACGAGGGAAGACGCGAGGATAAGAAGCACGACGACAATGAAGGGAGGGAGGAGAGCACCGAGGAGGGGGCTGGGAGTCAAGAAGGCGAAGAGGAAGCTTTGGAACAACAGAAAAGGGAAGCCGAGGACGAGGATGGTAGCGAATCAACGCGCGAGCGAAAACAATTGGCATGCAGTGGTAATACGGACGCCGGCGAGGATACCCGTCCCGTGGACACGGGACCCCCTCTTCGCGGCAGTGATGGAATACTTCTTCGTCGGGGATCGACCGAGGAGGTGGTCAAAGCAAATACCACCACGAGCATGGATGTGGGAGCAGTAGCCAACCGCGTGCCGAAAGACATGATCACACCACTTGTCAAGCGAGGCTCCGAGGGACTCCACAGCGCGAGATCAATTGGGATAGACGATGGGCACGGGGGAAGTGATGCTCGCTGCGCGACAACTGGTCAAGTTCAAACGCAAGCCCTGCCTCACGCAAACCGTGAGGCGCTTGCGCCCGACATTGTGCGTGCAGACGAATCAATTTCATTGCAGCGAGACACGGGGAGGGCGGCCGACCCCGCCGCGGTGCTTGGAGAAGGGGCCTCTTCTGTCGGCATGCTGAATGCAGCGGGGGAAGATCTAGGGACAACTCCCGTAGGAGATGCTAAAGACGACGGGACATTCTTGAAAGCGACGTCTCATCGAGACACGGCCGATGAGGTGGTTGTGGAGGGACCCATAAACAATGAACCCCTTGGTGTGCTAGCAGTTCCTTCTTCTCACCCGCTGATTGGCTCGGCTCCCGGTACGATCGAGGACATCAAAGAAGTCAACAACGGTGATGGAAACGGTGATGTAGAAGAGTTGCTTCGCCAACAAGACAAGAGAAATTCATCACCACTTACTGACGGTGAAGGTGCGAATGACGATGGACAGGCAACCTCTGCTACCAAAGTCACTCCGCTGGAAACAGGAGAATATGAATATGCTCCTGCGGACGTACTAGACGTGGCAGATGAGGGAGGCACTAAAGACAACGAAGGCGTTCCTCCACGACTGAACGAAGAAGTGGCCCTTGAGAATGAAGAGGGGCGGGCAGGAAAACAACACGAGCTGAATCAAACCGCCAGTGTTGTTGATGCTCAGAGGTTGCAGGATCAAACGGCGGATGATGTCAACGGCAAGTCTGAAGAAGACGCTGTCAACTTTTCCCAAGACAAGGTAGCCGCTGACAAAGCTGACCAGGGGGATCTGAACAGGGAAGATGCCGATCGTATGGCCACGACGAGCAACAGCACAGACTCCGGGGACTTGCTGCCGACGAACGTGTGGACGTTCCCTCCATCATTCGAGGCCCTGATGACTCTTTCCACCGCAAACAACACGGTGGAGTGCAAAGCTGAGGGCGAAATAACGCTCGAAGTCGAAGCCGCGACCCTGGGCGAGGAGCAGGCATCGACACACGGCAACGAAGGACAAACTAAAAAGAAGCAACGAGCGACCTCCGTGGGCTCCCCCGAGAACAATGTCGAACCATTCTGGCGAAGCCGTTACTGCATATACAGGATAGCGGTGGAGGAAGGTAGCCAGACCCCGCCAGTGGCAGACATCGACCTGGAAGACGATGACGCTCAGACACGCCTCGAACAACTTCTCGGGGGTTCGTACGGCCTAACGATGGAAGAGGTCCTAGATCGTTTCTCCCCGGAGACTGACCTCGGTTCCGGCGGCGCTGTGGTGCGGTCGTTCACGAACAGCATCTGTGAGCTCCGCCCGTCTCTTCTTCGGGGGCAACCAAAAAGCACAAGCTCCGACGACGGTCGGCCCGGAGGTGGTGATTCCCGCGGACGAAGCGATGATGACTCTGTGTACAAAGCCGTGGAGGCAGCTCTGCGAGGGCGCGGCGGTGGGGCCGAGTGGCAAGAGGTGCAGGTACGAGTGGGCACTTCCCGCGTCTTGGAAGTACGCGTCGTCACCACTTCTTCTGACGAGACCACCAGGGGGGAAGATATCGTCGAGAGCGGGTCCAATCCTGGTGGACCGTCGGCAACAACATCGGTCGACCCTCCCTCGAAGGGTGCTGTCTGCACTAGCGTCGTCGATTGTTCGGGTATCGACTCGCCCCCGGCGTTGAGGCCGCACATACTCGCGGGAGGAGTGCCCGCGTCGGTGGCAGACGCTTTAGACCGAGCGGGTTTTTTCACCCCGGGGCCCGCCGTAGACCTCGCCGGTGTTTTCGCAGCGTTAGCCGACGAGGCGAAAACCGGAGGCCCTTCTGAAACGCATGCCGCTACCGGTATTTCTCAATCATCGCCGGGCGTGAAGCAAAAGGAAGGAACGGGGGGCTGGCCAGGTCTTGACCGCGCCAGGAGTAGGCGGAAGGAGTTACACGTCCCGCACGGCGCACGAAGAAGCGGAAGCTTCGCAACCATCCACAAGTGTACCGTAGCCGTCACCGGAACGCCGGAGGATATCCAACTCGATATTCTGCCGGCGGTGGTTGATGATCAGGGTTTCATCGGTCAAGCCGGGGTGACCACGGCGCGCTTGTCACGTTTGAGGCCCCTCGGTACCTCCTCGTTGCGTTGTTCGCCGGCACCAGCCCTAGCTTCCGAGGGTGAAGAAGCTGTCGCAGCAGAACGCCACCGGAACAACCGAAACCACAGCGACTCCGATAGTAAAGGTAGAGAGAGCAGTTCGGAAGAACACAAACCCGAGAATGTGTCATCACAATCGGCACCTAGTAGTAGAGAACATGGGGCGGGGTTGACGGTCGGGGACCGTGTAGAGGCGCGATACGGCGGTAAAAGCGAGTGGTTCCCTGGGACTGTCAGAGAAATTCACGATGTCGATGATGCACATACGCCAGCTTCTACACGTGATGTTGTTGCTGGTGGTGGTGGAAATGGTGGTGGGAATAGTGGATTGAAAAGCAAACTTTGCAGCGTTGCTATCGACTACGACGACGGGGACACCGAAGAGAGAGTCCCTCGCGTACGGGTGCGGCTGGTTGGCCAGAAACAGCCAAGATTCTTGAACGAGGGAGACGAAGTGGACGTCAAGCGAGGGAAGAAAATAAGGTTAGCGAGGGTTGTTACCCGCCCCTCCTCTTCCCCTAATATCGAGGGACAATATGACCTAGAGATCTTGAGTGAAGATGGTCAAAGAACCAGCGGGGGTGGCGGTATTGTTGAAAATTGCCCGAGGAGTGTCATTATGGCATTACACGGCTGGCCCCCTACCCGTAAATAGAATCTATTTAGCAGATGGCCGGACGGGCGGTGTAGCACATAAAAGCTGCAGATTGAGGGTCAGAGTTTTTCGTACGAAGGGCCCAGTGGGAGACGAGGTGCACTGTCAGATATTAGGTGCAGTCTAGGGTCGGTGCGGGCGAACGTGGCACGATCCCTTGTCGAACTTTGATTAAAGAATGAGCCCAGCCTCGTTTCGGTAGAATCACATCATTGCGTAGCACAACAAAAGAATCACTCAATTCTTCGTTCGAGAAGTTCCGTTTGCGGGGGGTGCTTCGTTGTGGAGCAAACTTATTGGTGTCATTTTGTCTTGCAATAGAGGACACACATGCGATACGATCGTGAAATAGATCATAGATTGTGCAACGATTTTCTTACGACACTTTTCCCCATGGCCCCGCCAAACTGGCGAGATCACTCGACGCCGAGTTGTTGGCCATCATCATCCATACAGATGGTATACATCTGATACCAAGTCAACATCACGCGACATCACCCGATATGATACATGGAGATGTTGCGTAAGGTATTCTGAATAGAGGGAATCCACGTGCGATTCGGGTTTCCACCTTTGACGGTTTTTGACGTGAACTCCTCTACGAGACCGTTACGGATGAAACATAAGTTGAAGAGAGGCTTGCACACAACCAACCAAATCAATCCCTGCGTGAAAATTGTATGTGCGTGCTTCAATTCGTGTTGTATTCGCCTACAGCGTTCGATGTCACACAGATCCGCGGTGCACGGAGCAGAGATAGTGCCTACAGTAGCATCTATCTATGATGATTAGTCTATGCGTTCCGCAAAGACAGTCATCAACGCGTACGTACGTACGTCAATTACGCACACTGCTGGTGGTAGCGGGGTATATGTGGCCCAGTGCCTACTGTGCCATTCCAGCGATAACCTACCCTATCTACCCTACCCTAACCTTACTGCCTCTTGCCGTCGTACGCGTGAAGGTCCACCCGACGCCTGAACTCGGCCGCGACGCCTGATGGACAATTCCGCACTACAAGTGCCACTACTGTAAGACGCTACACAGTATAGTCTAGACTGTAGGCCCATCCGGCTCGAACGATTCAACAACAGCACCTTTATAGCTTGCAACATGGCACGTCATAGTCTACTCGCTTCCTGGATTCAACTTCAATGATCATGCTCTGTAAGGTGCACGGGTGGCCAGAGGCAGGTTGTGCGTAGGTTGGGGCACCAACTACAACCTGGGGGGGGGAGGTTGTAGAGAGGTTGCAGCCCAAAGCGTGCAAGGTATCCCGCATCTTGGATAGTGGCGTTATTGCAATCAACACAGCGGGCTGCAAGCCTGAAGAAAAGATGGTTTCATGGTAGAACTCGACCTCCCAACCTCCCCCCCCAGGTTGTAGTTCGTGCCCAACCTGCCCCTCTGGCCACCAGTACAGCCCTGCGTAGCTCGGCCTATGGATCGAGTAGACTACTACAGTAGGCGATGGTTGGTCCGACGTTGCTACCGTCCACACATTTGTCGGACCAGCGCAGTTGCAACCTGTGACGTGCACAGCAGTCAATTTCAATAGCAGATAAAAAATCGTCTTCGTTACGCACGGTCCGGGGAACATGACAAAAAACACATACTACCAGTTATTTATTACAGTGTTACCACCTTACCAAAAGCAACGAGAATCTCTTACATAGTGATGACCACAACACGGTTGGCCGAGGCAAGCTGCGATGCAGGGATGCCAGCCGGAACAACTACCTACGGTAGACTGCAGCAACCCAGTGGATCAAATGTATTTACATGCATAGAGACGTCAGCACTCCGCGCTGGCACAACAACGTCTTGTGCTGATTAGCTTGCTAGAATATTGGGCTGCTACTTCTAGAATGCGACACGTAGAGTAGGGTGGGTGGAACGTGTATCGTGGAATGAGAAGTCGCGTTGTGTCGCGATCGTACTCGTTGGTCCGTTGGTCGCTGCTTGGTTGCGGCGAAATCACGAACCGACACCAATCAGGCCGCCTCACCGCTCCTGGCTCCTGACTCCTGACTCCTGACCACCCCTTCCAGCCGTAGGTTGGTCCACTGCCTGCACGGCATACCCACACTCCTGCTGGACGTAAGGTTGCTATATTCTCGTCCTGAGTACATCACAGTACCCGATCTGGAGGGCACGCATAAGCGGCGGTAGGGTGGTGTCGGGTGTGGCGGTGTGTGTACTGCAGTCGCGGGGTAACTTAATTAAGGAATAATTAAAACTTGGTACAGCTGGGTTGCTGTCGACCCTGCAGACCAACGTGGACCACGCTGTACCATTTGGCGCCGGAAGCTGCTAGTTTCGCACTGAAGTCACAGAGCGAAGATGGTCATTCGCGGGGACACATCGAATGCCGTCAAGGACCTGCTGAGGTCCATGCTCCACGCATGGTACGACCTCACCAGGGAGGAGGCTGGTGCCTGGACGAACCACCTCGAAGCAGAGGCCGCTCTTCAGCACGAGATGCGACAACCCGTAAGGCCGGTTGTTGTTATCGTTGTTCACAACACACACCCATCATCGTGCTGTAGGCTTTATGTGCACCGAAGAAGCAGACTAGTCTACAGCTCTTGGAGGCACTGCCACCCATTGTAGGTTAGGTGAAAATTACGAGCACCAATTCGTGCACGGGGGGAATAAAATAACACATATCGCGGGTACTTTTGTCTCGTTTCTGTTGCTACAAGTATCGTGTGTGCTTGCAACTGCTGTGTGGAAATTGGTAGACCTTACCCGACGGCACCAGCGCAACGTTGTCAACTACTGCATGTAGTATTAATGTATCATGTGCGTGTGCAAAAAAATACGACTGGCACCTACCGCCCTCCTTCGAGCAGGTGACGAAACGCATCAACTCCGTAGAATAAGCTATTGCCCCATGTATGACACACGCTCCCCCGTCCGTCCTTGTTTTCGCCTCCTTTGGTCTACCCCGAACACCCACGCATTCAACTCGTGACGCTCAGGAGCAAGTTACGAAGCTGGTCTGCGGGATATTGTTTCACGCGTGGCGAGAGCACGTGATGAACCCACTCGTGCGAGGGAGGCGAAAAAACCGTCCAGAATCTAAGTCGGCCTGGGTGCAGCGCATGATGGCCCCCAAAACGAAAGCAGCGCGAGGGGGTAGCAACAGTGAAGGGGGCCGACTGGACGAAACAAGTGGAGGAAAAGCTGATTGTAACGTTGCATCTAATTCCGAGCAGGAGGTGGGTCGTGCCACTATGCTGACAAGGAAACATCCGGAAAGGACAGATAGTGAGGCGGTAAAGATGGGGCAAGGGCAGAAAATTTGGTACAGGGGTATCTAAACCACTGCTTCCCCGAACAATAAGACTCCAAATCATCAACGTTGAATACCTGCTGTTCTTCTACGAAAGAAGACCTACAGTAGGCTTTCCCACGCTTTCTTCTTGGAATTCTGTGCCTCACCCTCACGATGGATTGTTGGACGACATTCGTTAACCGCAACCGGCAAACTTCGGGCCACAGTGAAAACATCGTCCCCAATAGCAACGGATACGCTTCAATGCGAATTTGTCTTAGTCGAGGGAAAACTACCCTTGTCAAAATGCAACAGATAATATCTCTTCACGTTCAACTTTGCCGTGGTAGAGGATCGTGTCCAGCAAAAAAAACATGGCCCGAATGGTGCTTCCACTCCTCCCATCGTGGCATAAAACCTAGGTAATTGTCGGAGTCTGGCGATCTTCGTCGCTTGAGAGATCAAGCCGCCAAAGAAGGCAGGGGCATCACCCTCTTGGATCAAGGTGGGAATAACTTGGACCCAGAGGCTCTGTATATCAGTGTGCATGTGCTCTTGAGGGAAAATAGGTTGGGCCTTTGTTCACAAACACCATTTTCTCTTTTTGTTTGTGTGCAATGTCCAGAACTTTGAGTTCGAAACTTTTGCTGGCAAACGCCTTCAACTAAGAAACGATTGAGCGTCGATGTGGTCAAATATGCCAGCTAACCGACTAGGTCCTTGAAGTATGGCAGTCGGGCGATTCAAACTCAACGAATAGAGCACCCTCTCCCCGATGATGGGTATTCCGATTGTCAAAGAAAGCTGGTTGAAGCTGGACACCTTTTTTATTTTACCCTCATCACCGTTCGATACTCTCTGCGTACGTAGTCTCTGCCGATCAACTGCTGCACCTATGTTGCGTTCCCTTTCGCTCTGGGTAACGACGTCGACCATCTGGCCAAACGAAGCACGGATCAATGTAAACGCATGCCATAGAGACGTCGGCTCATCGTGGTAAATACACTGGACGGCAAACGACACGAACAAATGGGAATGCTTAAGCACTGGCTCTCACCTCGCCTTACCTAACACTCCGTATACAAAGCAGCTCGACGGACGGAAAAGAACTGGACGGCCTCGTACCTTTGGGCCAGTATGTTAACTTACCTCGTCACATTTCGCCACCCAATGCATCAAGCATCTAACCCGCAAAATTGTTGTGCTATACCGGGCAAAACATAAAAGCCAAAATCAAACAAACCTTTGCCTTTGCTTGGGTGCTTTCGCTCACAAGCCCAAAGCAACAGTTGTTCGAGAGACAAGACAACCACCCCTTGGATAATCCCAAACTCTGCAAGATATCTCAAGCAAATCACGTTCACTCACCTGGTGTTTAGGACAGCCTGTACCGCAACCTTGGGTTCACCGTTCGTTGTCGTGCTGCGCCTATGTATAAACACGATGCGCTAGGTATTTGAGGGTGCAGACCACATCACCCGAAAACATTCGATATGGAAGGAGTCCGGCCGCTCCGGCATCACCATCGCCGGTACCTCCCCCGGCGGCGGCCCGCCGGTCCACCGGCGCGGCTACCGCCCCCCGCCGCTCATGGAGATCAAGGCGTCATCCGCGGCAGCAGACCGAACCTGCAACTATCGGAAGCAACGGAGCTCTGCGGTGCGACCACAGACAATTGTGTTGTGTTGCTCCCGACCGATCTTCTGTCGCCGCTGACGGGTCCTTTGTCCCCGACGTGTCCGTTTGTTCCGGAGGCTGCTGGCCTGGCTCTTCCAGTGGCAACGTGGCGTCGGCGCCGCGGTCACCTGGTCCTGGCGGCCGCCGCCAGAAGGACGTATTGGCCGGCGACAGTCAAGTGTTCGGAAAAAAAGACAAACTCTTCGAAAACGTTGCCAGCGCCGGTCCTGTCAACGACAGCCAAGAGAAGGGAGAGAGCTCAGAAAACGTTGACACAGAGGGTGACGACGATGGCTGGCGTGGTGCCGCATTTTCCTACCTTGGCCGCTGCTCCCCGCCTCTGACCTGGGACGAGTTGGAGCCGTGGGAGCAAAGAAACCCAAGGATTGAGTGGATGCTTACGTCCAGAGGGATGGGAGGTGGCGAGGGGAGATGGGGCGACAAGAGTAGCGGAGTGGTCGTCCCGAAGGGAGTGCCGGTGGTTCCCGACGGCGAGGTCAGTAACCACGACAGAATGATTGGACCTCGGAGTTTTATCCTGTCTTCAAGAGCTCATTTCTGGTATGATCGTAGTAGTAAGGATTGTGTCTCTGAATTGTTGGTATTGTTATGCCTAAAGGAAGTTTTGGAGGGGGCAGCGCGTACTCGTCATAAAGCATGGTTGCTGCGTACAGTACGCCCAAAGTTTCGACTCCTACATACAAAGCCTGGCGGCGGAGTGGCTCGGATATTTCCCGACCAGGAAGATGTTTAATAACGTGGCATGAATCCCGGAGCGTCGCGAGATAAGGTGAGTCGCATGGGGCGTTGATCTCATTCCAACAACCTGTCGTTCGACAGATTTCGAAGAATCGACGAAATACTAATCTAGGTATTACATTCCCAACTTCGCATGTAAAAATTACTAATACGTCACATATTCCCAGGTTCTTCGTCGAGTTGCTGCTCGACTAGACCAGTTCAACATCACCGACCACAGGCAACAACGAGCCTCGGCACTGCTGTTGCTACTGAGAGGGGAGAAGCAGAGCGGTGACGGACGAGCCTACGACGCCCGCTGCGGCGGAACGGCGATGCCCCCAGATACTCCTGTCAAAATCGGGCTGGCGACCGCTTGCTCTGCCTCTGGATGCTGTATGCCCTTTCAGGCAGACCGGAGTGGGAAGATCAAACCGAGGCGGGGTAGAAGTGGTTGCCGAAACATTGCCGAAAATGGTAGGGGGGTGCGGGGCGCGACGAACTTGAGCAAGGGCAGCACTAGTAACGTGCAGACAAGAGTGAGCGATGGCGGAGCACACGGGGCGGTGCCGTCAAGATCTGTGGTGGATGGTGTCGGCAGAGACATCGCTCGTGTCAGGAAGGGTAGGGTCACGATCAACAACCGTGATTTGTGCGGTAAGACATCATCCCCAGCGTTAGTTGTACCGCACGAAGCCCGAGAAGTAATGTTCGGGTTCGGCTCCCGGCTCGGGAGGCATTCAGATAGAGAGGACAGGTGGATTTGAGTGAATAGCGCCTTCCGTTCTTCACTTCAAACCAGCGCTCACAGAATTTCTTCCATGGCTTAGGCTATAGTGTTTTTGAGGTCGGGAGGGTTTAGGTGGCTTCGAGGGGTTTAACGTGCTCGGTGTTAAGCTGTTTCAGGGAGAAATATGATCTTGCTTGAGTCCAGTACGTGGACCGGATGGTTGGGCACATTACTCTCGTGATGAAACTTGCCCCAACCAACAGTCGCTCGAAGAAGTAGATGCGTAGCAGCAACGAAAGAATAGAAAATGTATGGCCTGCAAATAGGTAGTCTATTTTTGTACAAGTTGTCGATATGGAGTTGGGATTCCGCAAGTAACCCGTATATAATCCACACATATAGGAGGAGTATCCTAGTACGGTGCAACTGATTTTGAGCCGCAAGTAGGTAGTGGCAGGCATAGTTTGAATAGTGTACGCTAAGTAGTTCCTTGCGATCCCTCAGTTTTGTCACGGTCATCTGTGCTTCGTGTGTTGTAGTGTTATGTCGTTTTTCCAATGTTCCACCGGGATCCTTCGTTCTTGACGGACGAAGGTGGCGCTCTCTTAAACCCCTCATTTCAGCAAGTCCATGTTCGGTGTTGCCCTTCACCATGTTCCGGTTTCAAGCGAGCAGGGAAGAGGTAGCCCAAAGGCACGGTTCGTCTCAGACTACCTGTTGCCCCCACACGTAATCCCTTCACCCGACATCATCGTCGGCGTTCTGTCAGAGCCAGTTCCACGCACAAGGATCGCAAACTTAGCCCTTCGTCTCTCCCGCAAGACCCCTACCCGACCAAAACAATGTGCGCGTGTACACTACTTTCGCAAGGCAACTGGATTACATACTCCTTCGCCATCGACACTGCTGCCTCCCAAACCGTCAGGGAGATAGGTCGGGTATACTCGTCCTCGTCTTGGGGGGGCGGGTGTAACTATGATACGAGCGCTGAAAGGCATCCAACACTGCGAGTTGTCTACATTCCTGATACCGATACACCTTTTCCGTTGAAGCGTCGAAAAGCTTCACTTCGTGCCTCTTCGGCATCGAAAACTCGGAGGTGAACAGCACAGAGTTGGCTGAGATACGCCTGAAGCTACTGACGGCGTTTGCCAGTTCTTGTGTGTTCGCGCCATCTCCTCTCCGCGCCGTTCGGACTATTGTACACGGATGCGAAGATCTATGTCACCATACCCTCAGCCGGTATGACAACGATCGCCCTCCCCCTTCCCCCTGCAATTGGTATAAGCTAGTGTCCACCGAGTAACCCGTCGCCTCTCCTTCCCCTCTTCCCTGGACAGGAAATATCAGTTTTCCTCGCGTCCACCCCTCTCCCCGTTCCATACTGCTCTCCCCTTGGAATTATTAATCTGCGTGCCCCCCCAATCCGTCCTACGATTGGCTATGCTGTACCAGTCTCCACCGCGTACCCCCCCTCCTTCTCCTCACCCCCCTTCCTTCCCCCCTTCTTCTTAGGCGTGCGCGGTGAAGAGGGTTCCTCGTTCACCCCGTGAGCATCAAGCCAGTCCTTGAGGTCGTTGCGGGCGTACCGATCCTCGCCCTCGAACATCTCCTCGTCAGCGATGAAGCACTGGAGGATCGTGAGCGTCGTCTGTAGTTTGGCATAAGAAAACATGGTGCGAGTGTGTGAAGAGCGGAGGCCGGGATGGGGGGGGGTAGCTTTGTAGCGGAACCCCCGCGGTGTGGTTCATTCGAAAGCTTGTCGTGGTGTTTGGTGTGTGTGTGGGTGCTCCGTGTCCTCGTCAGAAAGAACTCACTGAAGGACCATCAATGATGACAGCTCGAACCCGCGAGGATGTGAATTACCAAAGCTCTTGTTGCATAGCAGCGTGGTCAATGACGTAGAGACAGAAAGAAGACGAAGAATTAGAAAATCGACCATAAAAGCGAGCCACTACGTTCAAACGGCAAACAACAACCTACCATTCCAAGCAGAGCGGCGAACGAGGAGGCGACGTAGTACGCCATGACCCCGGCGAAGAAGACGGGGCCCATGGGGCTGTACAGGTCGTCCTTCATGAAGTTTTGCAGGAACACGTAAGTAGCCCCCGCCGTCCCGAGGCCGATCACCTGGGTGAGGTTCACACGGAAAACACACGTGGGAGTGACACAAAGTTGCAGGCGATTGTGATGGTGGGAACTAGCAAAAGAAGGGGATCAAGGTTGGATTGAACCACGGATAGGGCCCAGTGACCAAGGACCACGTGCGTCGCTTCCGTCGTCAACGAGGGTGGGGGTATAGGATACAGGGGTATGAGGAACCCAAACAGTCGCGACTGAGTACGATCGAGAGTGTTCAGGGGCAGGACGCGAGCAAAAGTCCTGCTTGCATGGCTTTTTGCTAGAAACATGATTCCACGAGTGAGTAAGTGATAGACCTCCCCAAACATCACGTATGCCGTGAGTGAGACATGTAGACTGGGGTTGCGTGTGGAGGGAAGATTGGTCGCTTATATGATCGCACGCGCGTGAAACTCGGACGGCGTTGAGGGCAGCTGGGATCAAAGGGAACTGGGATGATCAGGATAATCTCCAGAGAGCCCCCATCGATTCCAAGCGCTGCCATTCGCCAGGTGCGGTCAACGACGACGACTGTCCCTTTCTCATGGTGCTCCGGGTCAGTTGTGTTGTCCGTATCGGTTGTTCAAGTCCTATCGTTGTGGAGGAGGTCTTCGCAAAAGCACCCACTTTAATGGCACGACGCGCAGAGTGTACAATCTCGGTCGACGAGAACGCTGGTTGAGGTTTTCGGGGCCCGAGCACAGCCCTGGCCCGTCGCACGACATTGCCGTTCACTTACCAGCTTCATAATGAAGACGACGAAGTCCGTGACGACGGTGACGGCACCGACACGGCCGAGGTTCCTGGCTATCAGCCAGAAGGCGTTCTTGGAGGACCGGCAGAAGGAAGTGCTGAAGATCGCCACCTTGTTTCGCATACGAAGAAAAGGACGGTGTTTAAGGTAGGCAGGTACCTCCTTCTTTACAGAAGGGTGTCATTCATCACTGTTTGTGGACGCTGTTCGTACAAAAAAAAAAAACTGTGTTGAAAACGAAGCGCTAAAGATCACACCCTGCGCGTTGAGTGCCACAGATACCCGCGGGCTAGTTTTTCAACAATATTCAGTACAGTGAAGCATAAGATTTGTGGTTGACAAGAAAATGGGACATCGTGCCTCCCACAAAAGGATACTGCAGCGCGGAACGCATGGCCAAATCGTTGGGCTAGACGCAGCCCACCTTCTTTCTCGGACATAGGCCTGCTCGTTGATGGACTTACCATTCGTTTCGAGGAATGGAAAAACTCAGGAGATGCTCGGAAAAGCAACCCACGAACCAGCCTATTCAGTCAAGCAATGCTTTGCACCGACGAGGGCTTCACACACCGGCTTCGCGTCCCACACAGACGGCGCACCAATTTTCACGCCCATACCTGGATATAGGCGTTCTTGTTGATGAACTTGACGCACTTCTCGAGGCACCAGAAGAAGCACGAGAGGCAGCACAGAACCGCCTGTGCGGCCTTGCTGCCCGACTTCTGGAGCTTCTTCTGCATGTACGTCAGCATCGCGCGTATTGTCTGTTAGTTGTGCGCGAAGATATCCATCCATCCATCCATCCATCCATCCATCCATCCATCCACCGCCAGCAGCCATGTGTCCGGCAATAGGTCGGCAACAACGAAGGACAGAGAAACAGAACGTGCAGCAAGGAAACGAGGTAAGATTTCCAGGCTTGTCACTTTCCGGTGCTGCAGCAAGCCACCGCTTTGACATGCAAGCGTGTGGGGTTGTCATTTGTGGCTTAACGTTGACGTTTACGATCCAGGTCTTCTGCATGTTGGTGTTTCACTGCAGCGCCAATGCATCCGGCAAACGAAGATGCTGACATTGGTTATTTTGAAGCTACGATATTGAGTCTGAAGAACTTGAATTGTATTTTTCCCCCTTTTGCACCGCCATCTCTACTCATGTTTGTCATTCATGGAAGCAGTGCCTGGATGAAAACTGCGACAAGGAACATTCGCAAGTACAAGATGAGATAGCACATACTACGAACATCTGGTTCCCCTGTTTACCTTGATGATGGCGATGATGAGAGAACCAAACGCCGCCGTTCCCGTGTGAAACCTCAAACCCTCTTTCAGAGACTTCCAGAATGTGCCATTGTTCACCTTGCGGAAGGAGAAAAACCATAGGGAGATGGGAGATGGGAAAGGGAGGCATGACAGGGAGACCGAGAAATTGTCAACAGTGGTGAGTGGAGAAAGGGAGAGCCACTGGGTGAAAGAGAAGCTAACCACGAAGGAGGTACAGAACATGGACGAGGGGAGACATGTAAACGGCGAGGCACAGAAAGGAAGGCAGAGAAAAGGAGCGAAAGAAAAATGTACTCAGAGGGACATAAAAAATCTAATTCAAACAACAGGGCTGTCTGTTGCTATGGCTCGGTGTATGGGAAAGGAAGGGCTACTGTTGTTGCTACACCGTGTCGACATCCTCGGGAATTTGTCACCTTACACATGTTTCCCATGCCTCCCGACTAACAATGTATCACTTCCGAGCCGTTCTTTCGCAGGAATAACTTGTTTCGAGCAAGTGATCAATCTCACTTTCTAGCCGAACAACGGAAACTTGGGGGTCTCTGCTCTATGCCTCTAGCGAAGGTTTCCTAGTCAGCAAAGGTTGTCGCAACTGATGCTGTGGTTTTCTCTCACCGTCTCGACATCTCTCGTGAAGTAGTATTTGACGACCGTAAGGGCCACGACGATCTGTCCCATGGCCACGACGAATTGCGTCGTCCAGAAAAACACGAAGAGGAGGTACCACCCCCGCTTCTCCACCTCGTCCGAGTATTCGAAGCTCTTCACCGTCAGGCCTGCCACCTCTTCTGTGGTGATCTTGGAAAAAATATAGCGACGAAAGTGTGTAGCAGGACAAGTTTAAGAAAAGATTTCCTTTTTAGATAAAGTTTCGTTTGTGTGGCACCTTGAAAAGCAAAAATAACTCGGGACATATGACAGTCATGTACATTGTGAGCTGAAAACAGACACACTAAAGTTTTCAGGGCGTATGACGGTCGTGTACATGTACAAACCCAAAGTCGGGTTTTGCTTCATGCGACGTGGAAACCTGGAATTCACAACAGCAGCGGCTTTGCTTGTACGGAAACATATACTTGGTGCAAGCCCCTTCTTTATTGTTTGGCTGGAACGCTAGAAACCTCGCACTGGCAACCTCCGTTCACATGACGTCTCCACCTCACATATTGCCCAATACCATCACAATCTTTTCGAAGTAATACTGCATCGAAGTCTGATTCTACAGTACAACGTTTGACGAGTCTCACGTCTGCCATGGAAGCCGTGTAGACCGAATACACGACCCACGGCACGAGGAACGCCACTATCGCCGCACACTGCAGCAACGGCATGAAAAACATCATCTTCACCGTCCCGATGGCGCGGACAGATTCCTGCCACACAAAAGCAAGAAAATTATCGGCAATTTCCGAAAAAAACAGTGTGAGTTGGGCGCGTACATGCATGCGAAAAATCATTCCTACCACAATGTTTTCCTTGTTTTGTACTGCACTCTTCAACAGCATGAACATCTCGAGAGAGCAAACGAACGAAACAAGCGAAAGGAAGGGCGAAAAACAGCCTGACGACGCTGCAGCTCTGTTGGCTGAGGGGGAGGAGAGCATCATTTTCACCTCCCAAGAAGACGCAGAGCCACCCCTGCAGCATAGCTTCAAGGCATGCAAACACACAAGGCAACGAGCATTCGCTAAAATCAAGATACATGGGTCTGACTTACTCGAGACGAAAAACAAACATACCCAAGAGAGCAAAAATCTAGACAACATGTAATTTGTATGAGGCTTTTCCCGCGGTACATAGTACCAGCAACGAATCCAATGGACGGAAAAGTGGACGGCACGGTAAAACACGAGAAGGAGCCGCGCTGTAAATCGACACTGAAGATACACCGCAATAGACTTCAGTAGTTGGGACTCTCGGATGAGCCGACCTCTAAATCGAAGCTTGTTCACGTTCACCGTTGCAAAGGAGGGTGCATACGTAGACTACCTTGATTATCCCGTTGGCAAGGGCGATCTGCTTCCTCAGGAACACGATGAGGCATAAGAACAGAAACGCGCATCCGTAGGCCAAATAGCCGGTCACCCGGCTGCCCATGACCTGGGTGTCTGTGTGCTCGCCGTCCCCCTCCCAGTCCTCCGCTGTGTCGCGAGCAATGGGTTGTTGCGGGCGGCGGTGTTTTTGTTGGACGTTTTGGTTGTCATGTCAGCATTTGCAGTTTGTTCCGCGTCGACCATTCACCGAAAATCCTCAAAATAGGGGCGCTAGGTTTTAGTTCTGTTGGCGAAGGGTGTTGCACCAAGTACGACGAAAAACATAATGAAGATCGAAATAATGAAGGTTGTGTTGGTTTTCTTGAGCTTGAGTTCGACTCGCGAATTGAATTGTTTAGAGAGATCGCCGCCTCTTCGTTGTCCGAACGAAACGTTGTCTGAACAAAACGGGTGGCTCGTTTCCATGGCCATCTGATACAGTAGAAGAATGAGTGAAACGACTTGGAAATGTAGGAAGGATATTGTACCTATTAGTTTGAGGGGGAGGTTTGTCAATAGTAGTGTATATGGGTGAACGCTCTATTCAGGGTTGGCAACTCATGAAAGTATGGCGGTTTCCTCTTACATAGCGACACAAAGCCGAACCCCATCGCGACGAGGATGAAGAACACGCAAGCGATGCTCCCCCATATCATCATGCACACCAGTCCGGGTAGCTGGAGCATTCCAAGGTAGAAGAAGCCTAGGATCTGGAGAGCGACACGCGTGTTGGGTGGTTGTAGTTAGAATAGTTGCTGTTGCTGCCGCTTTTTCACCACCGGTGTTTCTATACCCGTCTTCATTTTCAGTGTAAGACACGATGTGGAAAGCCAGAACTGCAGCACAAGTGGCAGTTCGATTCGAGACGAAAACAAAAGCTTCAATACCGCCCGTCCGCTCCTGGGGAAAACAACCTTCAAATAGCGGGAAAGAAAGTACAATCTGGTGTACCAACCAAAATCCACTTACCGTAGAAAAGCAGAAGCCGAATCCGAATATCCACCCGCGCGCCGCGTAGACATCCGAAGCGGCCTCCTGCAGGTAGGCGACGTCCCCACCGACGTCGACGAACTTGTCCAGCACTTCCGGTTCGCTAAACACACAGCGACCGACAACTGTTGGTAGCATACGCGCCCATGACCAGTGCCACCAAAATACCGCGCGTGTCGGGCAAATCGTGAGCAAGTGGTTTTCTTTTCGCACGTTGACGACTGACTTTCTGTCAGCGGCCCGTCGGTACTGCGAAAAGGATGCTATCTCGGTTTTTATGATGAAATGACTCCCAAAAATCAATCGGACAGAGACTTGTGATGCACTTCACGTTGCTCAACACATACGATAATACTGGATGACAGTATGAAACGCCAATCAATCGTTCAACTTTTGGCGGGACACCAATTATCTCCTTTTCAGCATACCGGTGAAGGCAGACAACAAGCAACATACTCACAGTCGACGGACTCCACTTGGTACATGCAGACCCCCGCCCCGTCGCCGCCGCCGAAGCCCCCATCCTCGGCTCCCGTCGGGTCCACGTCGGCCTTCGCCGCGCACTCCAATGGATCGTCGGAGCAGTCGTAGCCTTCGTCCACCGTAAACCCCGAAAACTCGTCCGTGCACCCCCACAGGTGGTCAAAATTCGTAACCGTGGGGCACTCCTCAACGCAAACGCCGGTCCCGTCAAACCGGATGTAGTATAGCTGTGGGGCGCGGACGGGGTAGGAGGAATAGTGGTACTCAGCATCACCGGGGCGATGCAGCTACGGCTGAGCGAAAATAGAGATTGTGGTTTAAAGCTGTAACTCATGCAGATGTGCTTGTTTTTTTCATTACTGGTCTCCACGCTTCTGCATCCGACCATTTGTCAGGAAATCTTCCACCGCGTTTCCCCATGCAAATGGTCTAAGTGTACCACGACTTTGGCGCGAAGTCCACCTCCGTCAAAACAGCGTTTGGTGCTTGTGGAGGGCTTGTAGGAGGAGCAGTCTACGGGGACGTGGGGATGGCATTTATTGAATCCATCGAAATGAACATAGATGTCAACCAGTAAATCCCGACTTCAGGTGCGTACCTTGTCCCTCGAAGGAAACAAACGGCAAAAAGACTGTCAACAAGTCATGATCAATTATCAACAGACTTGGTGTGTGAAAGAACAACAAGAGCAATGAGAACAAAGTCGACGTCCTCCGACACATCGGACAATGGTAACACTTCCACACCCGGAGCACGTTGACGTATCACTGAAGATCTGACTTCACCAAACGTAACGATTGTCACCTTAGACTTGTCCTTGACACCATCGTCGACGCCGCAAATGCGGCCATCGTAGTCGATCCCATTCAAGAGGAGGTCCGGGTTCCCGTTGGAGATGCCGTCCACGCCGAGGTAGGTCATGGCTAGCCACGCCAAGATCAGGACCAACATGAAAAGGACATCTGTGCACCGCCGATCAGCCCCTCCCTCAATGTCGTCCGGAGCTGCGAGCTGTGTTGTTGATGGGCAAGCGCGAGCGGTTCATTGCGATTCGGCGGAAAAGAGGACGTGAAGGAGCACAAGCCGTAGGCAGTAGCTTCCTAAGGAAAGGAAAGGGAAAGGTGACGCTCTTGCTCCACGATCGTGTAGAAATGGGAAAGTTGCTTGTTATTGCTGAGAGCCAACAGCAACACTCCTTAACAACACGTATGCAGGTGGACGACATGCACGGAAGCGATGTATCCATAGAGGCGTAAAACGTAGGAGGAGATTATCCGCCTCCGAGCGTTCCCAAGAACCATTATAACTGGGAAACCACCAGTGAGTGGACGACTTCCGTATGCCACCTGTGGGCATGGGAAGGGTCGAGTTGCTGCTGTGGCATTGTTCTCTTCGCGTCTCTCCTTGCCTGAATTCTCGAACAACAAGAACATACAGTATCTGCCCTCGGTAACCGGGGAAAGCTATCTCTGCCTTGAGACCATCCGGCTAAGTCGCCTCCGGAAAGGGCTGAAATCGTGAGCTACAACACCATGACAGACCCCCTAGTGGCTGGGAGACCTTGAAGCCCAAAATAATTCGTGTATGTCCGCGTAATTGAAGAAATAAGTTCAATTGTCCCAAAAAGTGACGTACACGCAGGGAACACAGAAGTCACAGCGATCTCTATCCCGGTTGTGCTCTTTCACATAATCGTTCTCGTTCGTTCGTCGAAACTGCATTCTATTTCACATGGGTCTGGAGTCGGGTTAATTCAACCTATATTGAAGCGAGTGCAGATGGTAAAATATTCAACGAATATTGTCGCGAGTGACTCTGCAAGAACCAAAAAAAATATCTCTGGTAACCGAGTTGTATCGAGCAATTACAGTAGTCATGAACAGGGGAAGCAGAGGGATCGACCGTGATGCGATCGGTCTTCAGAGCTGCGACTTGGTGCCGTTTGTGTGCGTACCTTGAGGGACAACCCTCGGAAGATTAAAATGATCCTGTCTGTGGTCTTAGTAACTACCACAATGTGCAAAATAGGGAATCGTCCTCGACAGACGTTGCGGAAATGAGGCCTTGTTACTGGTCACCTCAACACACACCCCTTTTGTAAGCGATTTTGTTGGTGTCTTGACAGGAAGAAGGCTTCTTGGGGTAACCGGAGCCTCTGCAAACGACGGTTTCTCCAATCTCTGATTGGGGTTGGCCTCCAGTCTACATGCAACCACATTTCGTGTGTCCAACTCATTTTTCATCTTCTCATGTATGGCGCTAAGGGGTTGACAAATGAAAGGGCGTCAGTGGCCAGGTATAGAACGGTTCCTTACGATAAACAGTACATGAAGGGTACGACTCAGGAGGTCTGGATCGCAACCACGTTGGGGTGTCTCCTGCATCGCAGACAATTTTACGGCCCAACCGGGTGCACTAGTAGGCATGTATTCCAGAAAGAGCGATACTCAGAACCTGTAGGGAGAGCCCAATGAAGACCCGATACCGCACGACTGTGTGGTATTTTCAAACTGAACAATATCGATAAACTCAACATCACACCAGGAGAGAGCACCTTCCAGAACGGTCTCAAAACTTTAGGATCAGAAAAGTCGACTTGTTAACTGATACTTTGGATCCAAGAAAATTGTAGTCAACCTTACCGATACAGTCTATATTTCCTGCCGATCCTTCAACGTTAGGTGCGAGGTGAAATTGTGAAATTCTAATTGGTACTCTCGACAAGCGCAAACGTTATGTGTTGTTTACTTGTTCTGGACAGATGCAAAAGGTGCCAACAAATGTTTCTTAGTGTATAAGGTGACCCGCGTAAGAGTTACAAAAGAGTTATCTATTCTAGACTCGTAAATGAACACGTGGATGTCAAAGGCCCGAATTCAGACAACCGAATGGTTCTGTACACTGTTTACCAGCTAGTGAACTTCTTGCGTTGAAAGTTGCATGCCTGGGACCGGCTCATTGTAGTCATTGCAGGTGCCAAAAGGTTGAATAGCAGCAGGTTGACTCTTGGTTGTTGCAGAAATTCCTGAAGCCGCTGGTGTATCGTGATGGTCAAGCCGAAAGTGTATCCTTGTTCTTACCACCGACGGCACGTCTAGTCTTGTAGATACTGGATCCGAGAGAGAAATATCGCACATCGCCGACACGGTTCGTAGTGGTTTGGGGCGTATTTGGACTCCCAAGAAGCAGGCAAACTCGAACGTCCCCACCATTTTCCAGCAACATATCCTTCAAGGAGCCTTGGCCGTCCCATTGCTGCTCGAATCTCCGGAATACCTATGGATACCTCGTGGTTTGCATCAGCCAGTTGTTCGGCACTTTCGTATGATTCACGTGCTACGGTATGTATTGTGTCTGTTCACTAATATGTACATGTGCGCATCCAAATTTCAGTTGCTGCTATCGAAAAGCGTACCAGCAGAGAGGGAGAGTGTGTAGCTTGTATATACGTGTGGACACCGATTCCATGGACGTAGATGCTCTACTTGTAAAGAGCAGGCACGAACAATTATATCGGTATGGAAGATAGAGAAGAAGTACACGGATGGTGTTTTGTGTTTCGTCCAAAACCCACCTTCGCTCCTCGCTTTTCCCCCTCTTTCGGGGTTACTGAATTCGGGCCCATGGCTGCACACCCTGTGTTTTTGCTCCCTTTCCTTGCCCCTGGAGTCTCAGGGTTCAGCTCAGCTCGGGCACCTGTCCGCTCTCCTCGCAGCTCTGTTTGTGTCGCGTTGTCGGAGGTGACACGGAAACCGGAAAATATAAGTGACGGTTTCGCTCGAACCGAGCAACCGAGCGTCCGACGTCACACGTGCGCGGGGACTTCGCAGAAAATGTTGCCGTGTACAATATCATCTGCGCATCCCCCGAATTGCCACCTACTTACACCGCTCACCGCTGGCTGCTGCTGCTGCTGATGTACCACTGCACGAGGCTGGAGTAAAAAGCTAGTTTGGGGCATGACGGGAGCGAGGTTGGGACGTGCAGTCCTTGCGTCTGGCGCGAGGGATTCTGCCGTTGCCTCCCTACCACGCCGAGCAGCAGGACTGGTGGCGAGTAAGGGATGCAATGGAATGCTCAGCAGAGCTCCTGCGGCTGCGAATCAGTCGCTACGTACCAACGCTGCTAGGAGCGTAGCTGGTGGCCTAACTGGAGACAGCATGTGAGATGGCCCAGCTCACGAGGCCGCTTGTGTTGCTTTGGTGTTGACCGCGTCGCCTCCACACGCTATTGTGGTTGGTGGGTATCGTGGTGTGCCAATACCAAAGAAGCGGGGTGATTCGTGATGTACACGCACTGGTTGGGTCAGAGCCCCCGAGACTCCCGTCAAACACCCCCGTCAACAAGCTTGCTGCGCAAACAATGCTCATAAGCACGACGACGCCCCTTCCAGCATGTACTGTACGTCTTGCCGGTTGCCTTCGTCCTAGGATTCGCTAAGCGTGCGGCGCGAAGCCTACCTGTTCACTGGCCAACTGCTATGTTACACAGCTACACTGCTACACTGCTTTACCCCGTTTTGCCTGATTCTTTCCAGAAGCACTCACCGCCGCCCACCCGCCACCCCTGAACCTCATCACATAGTCTTATCGACGACGGCGGGGAAGTCAGTGCGCAATCGAACGGGATACTCGCCTTCGCTTGTTGCTCACGGAACGGGGTATCATTTGTGTGGTGCATGTTGTCAAGCACCGTACTATAATACAGCGGATGGGTCTGCGCGTACTACTGCTGACGGCAGACAAGGCGGCCTTGCGTTACACCACACATTCAAAAATGGGTACCGAGGCACTGGGGGCGAAGTCGGCGGACCCGCGGCGCATCAGAAAGCTTTTGTGCGAAGTTGCCCACGGAGAAAGGCTGTCATAACGCGTAGGACCAGCTTGCAAGTTCTCTAGAATCCCAATGCTAGAACAAAGTGACATGTCACGAGCGCTTGGTCTGGAGTACATGGCGCTATTTATGTAGATCGAGATGTTCTGGCGCGAGGGGGGGTGTGGGGGGTGGGGGGAGTTCCCTCGTTATCTTGTGAAGGTCCCTGCGTTTCCGTGGCAGTTTCCGGTCAATTCGAAACGTCTGTGTTCACCACCCCCCACGCCTCGTCCATTGGTGATCGGTCTTGTGGGAGCAAAATGCTCCGTCTTCTCGAGGACGCGTGGTCAATGGTCTAACCGCTAAGGCATGCAGAACAGCAGAGTACGCCCCCACCCTCCAACGCCTCGCCCCGATTTTGTGTACATGCCGATTGTTTTTCGTCACCGCGAAGCTTGCGACCCGAGGGAAGCTTGGGCGGCAGCTACAACGGCGGTTCTCCCAAGTTGTTCGGAGGCGTTCGTTGTACCCCCGCTCGGCAGTTTCATTCCACTCGACCTGCCGAGAAGAGAGACTTCTACGACGTGCTGGGGGTCGCGAAAGGGGCGGACAAGTCGGAGGTGTGATGATGTGCTATTTTGGGTGTTGCATTGTTTCATTGAAACCTGGTACATGCAGAACGCGCCCCACAAACTTTTGAGAACCTCTTGTTTTTTGCTGGATGTTCCCGCTTTTTTGTCTCCTCTGCGGGGCCACCCAACAGCGACTATGGAGGTTTTAGTGTACAGTAGGGTTGTTAGCTGATGCCCTGTTCGTATCAGGTCATGTCCTCGAAGTTCAAGTTTTCTTGTCTTAAGCCTGATTTTCTCAAGTCTCAGGTTCTTAAATGGTGGCGCGTTGTGTACACAAGGCAGGAGCACCCTTGGCAACCTGCTGCGTTTGCGTAGTTGAAACGGAACATTTTTGTGTGATGTTTTTTAACCAACGCGTAGGTTAATGGTTATGAAGGTTTTAGTAGCTGCGGTCAGCTGTCAGAAGGATATGTTTTTTGTACATGGGCAGTTGCGCTCAATTTCAAGTGTCCTATGTTGTCGATCTGTCTTCCCCTTTGTTGTTGTGTTACCAATGTGCCTACGATCGTGTTCACCTATGTAGACCCTTCGATGTGCCAGCGTTTTCGGGCGTAAACCTGACGTTTCTCTCCACATTCGGCATGATTTCTCCCTCTGTTTTTTTATCTTTTTTTCCCTCTTTTCGCAGGTAAAAAAGAAGTACTTCCAGCTGGCTAAGAAATATCACCCCGATCAGAACAAGGACAACCCCGACGCCAAGGCCAAGTTCCAGGAGGTCACCGAGGTAAGCCTTCTCTTCCTGCCGTCCGTACCAACGCCGCCTCCCTGTGTCGTTTCCCAAAGACAAGAGGTGTTGCTATTGACCCGAGTGGCGTGTGTCAAGTCGCCTGGTGTACGCTGATCTTTCTAGCGTGTGGTATGTCGCTCAAACCTTGGGTACTGTATTGGTAGCTGTTGTCTCTTGCGCCGTCTTCTTTCCGACAAGCGTGCTTTGCTGCCCTCTACCCACCGCCCTCTTTCACCGCTCCCTAACCCCTACGCCCATCGGAAACCAAATTGGAGGCGTTTCCAAGCGGCGCTTCCATCGGGGTCGCTTTGGCCACTCCAGCTCCAGCTGAAAACCAAGATGCTTCGCATTCTTGTGCCCTTATCCCCCCCCATTTCTCAACTCTGACGCTCCGCCCCCCCGCATAGGCCTACGAAGTGCTAAGTGACTCGGACAAGCGGAGTCGATATGACCAGTTCGGGCACGCGGGGGTCGATCCCAACAACGCCGGAGCCGGTGGGCCTGGGGGAGGCGGTGACCCGTTCGCAGGCTTCGGGGTGAGCGTTGTCACGGGTGCTTCACGCTAAAATAGTTGTTTGGACATGTTGTTGAACAACGTCTGCTGCTGCTGCTGCTGCTGCTGCTGCTGCTGTTCCTTGCTTTCGCTGTATGGTGACGCTTTTTTAACAAATTGTGCTTGCTTACCCGTAGGCGCTGTAAAGGTTACATGAGAGAGGGTTTTGCAGGCCCTTTTTGCCAGCATGGAAGGCATTCCAGCCCCTACAAGCCAGATGCCAATACCAAACACTCCCACAAAATCAGTCCCCTCTTTGCGGAACAGGATAGCCCACCATCTTCTGTTGTGCTCCAGTTTGCTGAACAGCGTTGACCATACCCCAATAGGGGATCGATCATCACACAGCCAAAACGCAATCGTGGCAGTGCCCGAGCAAGTAAGAATGCTTCCTAAATATCAAGATCTTCTCGCAACAACGTTTCACATGGCAGGAGTGCCCCAAGCAAGAAAGAATACCCCCTACATCTCAAGGAACTCCTCGCCAACAACGTTCACATGGCAGCAGTTCCCTTAAGCATGTAAGAAGGCCTCCTAAACTTCAAAGAACTCCTTACCATTTCACAGGGTTTCCGAGGAGGCCCCTTTCAGCAAGGGGGATTCCAGTCCAACGTAGATATCGACCCCCAAGACCTCTTCGAGCAGCTGTTCGGGGCGCAGATGGGCGGGAGGCAGAGGAGACCACGGGGACCGAGGCCTGGCCAGGACCTGCAGCTGCGGATGAAACTGTCCTTCTTGGAAGCAGTGCGTTATTGTTTTTGTTGTTGTGTTCATTACTGGTAAGGTTGTGTTCATTACTGGTAAGGTTGTGTTCATTACTGGTAAGGTTGGGGTTGTTGAGGTTCTTGGTGTTGTTGATGACGTTGTGTTATTGATGACGTTGTGTTTTGTTGTTGCGATTGTTGGTTGTTGTTGACACTGCTGTGTTGGTTGTTTTTATGTGCCGTATGTTTTTGCGTGATGTATGAGTTTTCGGTGGCTTGGCGTAGTCATGGAAGCGGCATCGAAGCCTACGGGTCTGCACGTTATTGTTGCCTTGAGTTTTTTCTTCTGGACCAGACTTTTGAAGACGGTGAGCTGTGAGTCAGTAGAGTCGGGCGAACAACAGTGATGTGTGTCCCGTGTCCCGTTGCTCTCAGGATGTTCGCATCTTCATCTTTCTCTCTCTCTCTCTTTGCTTCTCCCTACATTCTGTGTTTTGTCCGCCTCTAGGCGTTTGGGACAAATCGATCCCTGGACGTGACCTATCACGTCGTGGAAGGTGGCAAGAGAAGACGCAAGACCAGGTTTGTCGTCGTACTCTTGTCGGGTGTGATGATACAAGTATCGTGGCGGTTTCATGTGTAGAGGGTGCAAGAAGCCGCCGGTTTGTTGAGGATATGCTGTCATGACGGTTTCAAGTCTTGAGGCTGCGGGAAACCGCTTGTACACAGTGACGTAGACAGCTATGCACACACAAAAAAAAAACGTTTCGTCAAATCTCATTGTTCTCTCCCACCCCACCCCCAAAAAATCCCCTGGGTGACCTTTCTCCTGCGTGACCTCGGCTGATACATATAGGTCAAAGACGTACACCGAGAGGTGTAGACTGGCGTCAAAATATGCCGAACGAATTCACGCACACATTTCGACTAAACAGCGTTCGTGTTTTTTATCCCGCTACAAGACTTACGTATTTTCATTGGTCAGCCGGTTCGCGCAGTCGGTGCTAAACATGCACACACACACGCATTACGCTGATGGGTTCCAGGAGCGTGAAGGTCGAGGTTCCCGGGGGAGTGGAGAGCGGCATCGCTATCCACGTCCGAGGGGAGGGGGCTGAAGGAGAGAAGGGCGCCCCGAACGGCGACCTCTACGTGCAGCTCGAGGTGGCACCCGACCCGTACTTCGAGAGATCCGGAGCGGACTTGCACGTGACGGCCGATGTTAGCATCGCTCAGGTGAAGGGCGGCTTGTGGCTGATGTTTTGGAGGAACGTTGTTCCTTCGGTTTGTAAGTATGTGACGCAGGTCGTGGTGTTGTTGGGGTGACCGTCGTCGTCGTCCGTGGCCAAAAGTTGCTCTGTTGTTTTGTATCGTATCGCTGCTATATCTGCTGCTGTTGATTGTAGCTGTGGTTCCTGCTGCTGTCGTTGTTTTGTTGGTACTGCTGCTGCCTCTGCTGTTGTCTGCGCCACCGATGATGAATTCCTCGCCTTGTCCAGAGATTGCGAACGGCGTACCGTCCAAAGGAGACGTGGCCACTTAGAGTGAGCAACAAACACCCACCCACCCACCCACCCACCCCTCCCCGCTCTCAAAAACCGCTCCACCAGGCGGCCCTTGGTGGCAAGGTTGACATCATGACGATCGATGGAATGGTGGAAGTGACGATCCCGAAGGGGGCCCAGCCGGATGCGGTACTGATGCTGAGGGGGAGAGGTCTGCCGCGGTTGACGGGCTCCGGCGCCAGTGCCGGGCGAGGCAACCAGCTCGTGCATCTCAGGATCCTGATTCCAACGTGAGAGCGCGTTGTATTTGTGGCTCTTGGAGGGCGCGGGTTTTGTGTGCTGGTTGTGTGTGTCGCAGGAAGCCTCGCGGCAAATGCTATCTCTGTCTCTTGCTCGTTGATTGACTGTTCGTTTCTCTTCCGATGAACACAAAACTAGCGAACGAGAATCAGCTTGCGTTGAGAAACATTAGCGAACATTTGGTGTGGTCATCGAGCGGAAGAATGGCGTCTTGTTGCGTGGGAAACGGGTGCGTGTGTGCGTGTCCCCTCGCGACAAGCGGGAGAAGGCTCGGTTGTAAGCGTGTTTCAAGTATTATGTGACCTTGTCGCCTTGGGGGATTGGTTATCTTCCCCATTCAACCGATAAACAGGGCAACCTGTTGTGCTTTCTGCGCTCAATGCCGTGCTAGTCCATGGTTTCTGTTTGACGAGTTTCGGTACGGTGTATGGTTCGGGGACAAGGATAAACTAGGTACCCTTGAAAGTGCTGCAGGACACGAATTTTGTGGAATAGGTTGCAAATTATTCACGTGTTTGTTGATTTGCCTCATGTGCTGTTTCGTGTGCATGAACAATAGCGAGTTCGACGACACCACCACCACCAACAACAACAGCGTCGTTTTTGCACTAACCTCAACGAGGTCATAAAGCTGTAGACAACGAAGGCGATCACAGTCTTGTCACAGCCAGAACCGAAAAGTTGTTTGTCTGCACCTCTCGAGCCGTGTCCCCCGTCTCTAACGCTTATACTTTTGTTTTGCGTCTACGCGCTGAAAATAACGACGACGACGACAACAACAACAACCGCAACAGCAAGCTCAACGATCGGCAGCGCAAGCTGATGGAGGACCTCCGAGAAGAGGACGACAGGTTAGCCGGGAGAGGGAGCTCCAAGACCAAGGCTTCCTCCGAGGGGACAGACTCCACAACCTCTGCCGGTAGCAGCACTAGCGGCGGCGCCGGCGGTGCAGCCTCCTCCGACGAGGACGCTCGAAGCGGCATCAGCGGGTTCATGCGGGACGCGTACGACAGAGTGAAGTCGCACCTGGCCGGGAAGGAGGCGAAGGAGAAGAAGAAGCAAAACGCGTCTTCGTCTAAGTAGGGAGAGAGAAGGAGGCACATTTTTGTATGTTTTTTGTGCTGGCGCTCCGAGACTCCGCTCGCTGCCAACGACAGCCGCAAATGGTTCTGTAGCACAAATTTTTTGGGTGTACCTACAAGAAGGCAAGGGGCGGATGAGGGAGGAATAAAGCGAAGGAATTATCGTTTTCTGTTTCTTGTCCCAGCAGTGGTTGAACCTTCGTGTCCTGACCTGTGCCTCGTTTTCGTTACTCCGGCAGCGTGGATGCCGAACTGCAGCCCCTCCAAAAAGTCGTGTCGCAGTCACTGGCGGCGAGCCCGTGCTGTCGTTTGTAGGTCTTTGGTTTGCCGTGACGTTGACCACATCTACCCCCAATGTTGTTGACATGGTTTTGATGCCATGGTACGTGCGATTGTTCGCCGCAAGATTCCTCTTGGTGTAGGGGGTCGGTCGTGTGGTGAGGCGGCACTTGTCTTGCGTGGGCTTTTATGTCCGCTACGGCTGTGGGCCAATGTCCGCTCCTCGGCTGAACAACGGTGCCGTCAACGAATCATAACTTCCAACAGGAGGTCGAACTCATCCTGCGCGAGATGGTGAGACTAAAGAAAGACTTCAGGAGGGGCGGGTGTGGCCGAGAGCTCACTTGCCTTGAGTGCCATATGAGACAGTTTGAGGCGTCCGGTCGTTTCCAAATCTCTTGTGTGGCTCGGTAGTGTCACGCTTTTATGCGCCTTTTTCCGAATGCCACTGCCTGAAGTAACGGTTGACCTGTCGTGTCTTCACAAGTCTTGCATGCATGACAGGAGTTTCACCCTGTTTCCGATCTCAAGTCTGATCAATCAGCAAGATTTCCAGCCAGCTTGATACTAGCAACGCCGACGATACTAGTCTGCTTGCGTTAACATCTAGTCTATCCTACTACGGGGCTAGCCAATATTATTGCGTGGGGGGCTTGCCGTGAGAGAGGGGCCAAACGTTGGGTAGTTACCAAGTGTGTGCGGCGGCGATTGAATTTTGTCCCGCACTGACTGAAGGATTGCATCCGGATGTTGCATGAATCTGCGTAAATCTGCTAGGGCAACGCTTAGTGTTCCGTTGCAGGAGCTGACTATGGGATCGCCGCATGATAGTTTTGTCACGCCGTGAGCTGCGACGTGGAAGCGTTTACGCGCAGGGCTGATTGTTTCGCCTTATTTTAGCCATTTCTGAATACCGCACAATGGCCGCGGGAGTGACACTGGCCGAGACTTGCCGATCGACTCAGTGATTGTTCTGCTTGCGAGACATTGCGAGACAAGCGCTTTTGAAGAGAAAAAACATACAAAACTCAGGAGAAAAACCTAAAATACTTGCGGGGTTTTCGCAACTTTGTTGTCACGGAGCAAAGACGAAAAATCTTTAAATTCCAACTGCAATTCACAGGAAACTCAGCGCGTGGAAGTCCGACCAAAGGCACGCGGAATCAACACGGAAGGCTAAATCTGTGTGGTCCCTGGCTGAAAAATACTTCATAACTTGCACCCTGTCGTCGGCGATGTCGCCTCCGACTGATGACATTGACAAAGTATAGAGACAGAACCTCCTTGAAGAACGCCGCGACTTCCCTCATCCAACCCAATCTAGTCATAATTCACGCACGTGACCATCAAGGCGTGGTAGGTGATGACGTCGGGGACAACTCCCAATTCGCGCATTTCCTCCAGTAGATCTACGCCTTCCTTCCACCGCCCCCCGCGTGCACACGCGTCGATGGCCGAGTTGTAGCCAACGACACTCGGGGTAAGCCCTACCGCGGCCATCTCCTTCAGTAGCGCCAGGGCCGTCTCCCACTGACCTCCTTTGGAACAAGCGTCGATGGCCGAGTTGCAGGTGATGACATCGGGGGTAAGCCCTACCGCGGTCATCTTCTTCAGGAGCGCCAGGGCCACCTTCCATTGGTCGCCCTTTGCGCACGCAATAGCTGCGCTGTAGCTAACGACATTGGGGGTGAGCCCTACCACGGTCATCTCCTTCAGCAACGCCAGGGCCCCCTTCCATTGTTCGCCCTTTGCGCACGGAAATAGCTGCGCTGTAGCTAATGACATTGGGGGTGAGCCCTACCACGGTCATCTCCTTCAGCAACGCCAGCGCCTCCTTCCACTGACCTCCTTTGGAACAAGCGTCGATGGCCGAGCTGTAGCTAATGACATCGGGGGTGAGCCCTACCGCGGTCATCTCCTTCAGCAACGCCAGCGCCTCCTTCCACTGACCTCCTTTGGAACAAGCGTCGATGGCCGAGTTGTAGGTGATGACATTGGGCGTAAGCCCTACCGCGGCCATCTCCTTCAGTAGCGCCAGGGTCTCCTTCCACTGACCTCCTTTGGAACAACCGTCGATGGCCGAGTTGTAGGTGCACCATGGTGACATCGAGGGTAAGCCCTACCGCGGTCATCTTTATCAGTAGCGCTAGGGTCTCCCATTGTTCGCCCTTTTTGCACGCAGAAAAGAGCTGCGTTGTAGCTAATGACGTTGGGGGTGAGCCCTACCGCGGTCATCTCCTTCAGTAGCGCCAGGGCCTCCTTCCATTGCTCGCCCTTTGCGCACGCGTCAACCGCAGAGCTGTAGGTGATGACATCGGGGGTAAGCCCTACCGCGGTCATCTCCTTCAGCAACGCCAGGGCCCCCTTCCATTGTTCGCCCTTTGCGCACGCGTCTACCGCAGAGCTGTAGGTGATGACATCGGGGGTAAGCCCTACCGCGGTCATTTCCTTCAGCAACGCCAGGGCCCCCTTCCATTGTTCGCCCTTTGCGCACGCAGCAAAAACTGCGTTGTAGGTGATGACATTAGGGGATAGTCCTGCCGTCGGCATCTCTCTCAGTAACTTCACAGCCTGTTCCCACTGCCCCCCCCTCCCACACGCAGTGATGACCATGCAGTGTGATTTCTGATGAAGGAGCTCGCGAGGTAACCTTTTCATCCCGTCTAGAGCTCTGAGCGCTTTCCTCCGGTCCCCGCCCCTCGAATCACGAGGCATTGTTTTCAACTCCGCGAGAGATTTGGTACGCCCCTCCACCACACCCTGCCTGTTCCTCAAAGGTCGACTTGGCCTAGATCTTGAATTGGGCTGGTATGATTCTTTTCTAGATCAACCCTCAACCCTATTGATGTTATTTGCGGCGTCCGAACCGGGAGGTAGAGCACGGAGCTCGAACGGCATTCATTCCTGTTTCCCGCCATCTTCGGGCAGCACGCTCATTTGTCCGGGTACGTTGATGTATACGGGAGGCCCAGGAGTTCCCTCTCGTGGTACCAAAGGCCTCACGCAGGAGTACTGCACCATGCGAACTGCGCCGAATCGAAACATGCACATCTGATACGGGGGCACACGGCAGAGCACACGAACAGAAAGGGCACGCCAGCCAGCGGTACCACGTTGGGTCAAACGTGAAAGTCACAACCGGAGAATATGGTAATCGACACCAGATGCACACGGAAAAACAACCTCGCAAATCCGGTGCAACGGCAACAAACGAAGCACATATGGAGTAGGCCATGCACAGAGGCATTGTATACAAAGAATGTGGCGCGGTCGACGGGGAACTATATTTAAATTATAGGTAGATGTAGGGTGGGCACATACGCTCGCACAAGAGGGTTTCTCGAAAACACCTGACTTACAGTATTGGTACAGCAGTTTAGCTCATGACAGTTCGCCTTCAACGATCTATCACGCACATGACATGACCAAAACGGAAACAGTAGAATGAGTACAGCAACAGCGCCAAGGCCTCCAAACGCGCTGATTCTTTCAGTCCGGCCGTCTATGTGTTACTCAGTCCCGGCGCCCTGTGCTGCTTCGTGGGTATTGGGGGCTCTGTTGTTGCTCACGAAGGCGTGTGAGAGATGCGTGCCAGATCCACAAACAGCCGTTTAAAAAACTGCGGTGAGATGGCCTGCTTTTGGTCGGAAATATAACACAAACCGACGCCACCACGCAGCAGTAGAGCATTTGGGCCTCCGACACGCTATTATTTCGGTTGGTCATGTATATGATGCTGTCCCTCAGCGCTGGTGCCGCCCTATGATGGTTGAGCTCGAAAGGGGGTGGTCAAAGAAGGGGGTCCCAAATTTGAGCGGGGAGACTTGGAGAAATCGCAAGCAACACCCAGGTGGCGACACTCTACCCTGCTCCTGGTGCTGAAACAGTAGGCCAAGTGGACAGGGTCGATACAATTGTGCTGGGCATTCATCTGCGTTGCAGCTCATGGAAAAGAAAAAAAAAGAACGACACCACAATAACAACGGGGTACACCTGTACCTCCACAATGTTCCGGAGCCAGTCTAAAGATTTAAGGAAAAATAAATAATTTACACACAGTGTCACACACAGAAAGTCCCTCTAAAGATTGCTGCTCTGCCCATTCCAGGTCACCCTGTTAGTCACCACTGATACTACTGGAACAGACCGCGGCTTGCCATGAAATAGGCAGAGTAGCCCAAAACGCACTTCCACCTTACGTCTGCAAGCAGCTTTTACGCCGCGACTTTGCTTTCAGCTCGAGATTTGCTTCACCATGCATGCATGCCGATCAGCTGCTGCTGCTGCTGCAGCAGAAGCCCCGTTTTTCAGCTCTCTTGGGGTGGCCAACTTCCGTGAGCCGTCGCGGTCCGAATACGTGACTACGTCCTACGTGACTTCGCCACACAGCGTAAGTATTACCACAGCACTCCATGTCAGCCGCTAGAATTTTGGATCAGCAACATATCCCTCGTCATGGGCTGCAAAGGTCACCTAGAATCGACAAAATGTCAAAGCTGCCTCTAAACGAGCTGCCTCTAAACGCGAGTAGTTGGCGGCGGCGTAAAATAGCGGGTGAAAACAATGGCTACGTCTCCACTTTGTTGTGTCCTCACGGAGCCTCAGGCCAGACTTTGCAGCCCTGTCGTGGTCTAGAAAGTACATGAAAATCACTGCCGTTCACGTGCAGTGTAGTTTAGGCACCACAGGTTGGGACGGCTAGAAGCTTGGATCAACACTCGAGAGATGTGCCAGAATAAGGTCAACTCCATTCGAAAAAGAGCATTAGACTATTTGGGGCCGTGCTGTCATCTTCGTTGGCACGACTAAAAAAAAAGTCCCGTTTTTCCATTGCTTGCAACGCAGAGGTGTAGTGGTATGCATGTACGGTCCTGCCGACGACGCCAAGTGTATGTAGTGGTATGCACGCGTGATGAAATCTGGTTGACCCGTGAAGAAGAACTCACTTGTTGTTACTCTTGTAGAACAGCAGCAGCCGTAGCTGTTGCCTTGGGTATCGGTAGGAATGACACCAAGGGGCACAGGATCCTCTGCACAAGCAGGGGCTACTAGATCCTGTCCCCTGCTTTTTATCCTTCCGCGGAGAGTTACATCTCTCCGCGCAGGAACCAAGCTCTTCTATGTTCCGTCTACACATCTGAACCCTATAACAGAGGTGCACCACGATAAGAACAGAGCCAAACCCTCGAACCTCTTCCGCGTTTATCTAACCGGTTCGTTTTTGTCTTTTGTTTTTTTTCATTTCCGATAGTAGTAGGCCTTAAGCTGCTCTCGATCGATACGGATTTCGCGAGACGCGCTTGAACGGTGGTAGTGTGAGCCTCGAAGGTGGCTTGTGGACGTGGCAGAACATAATCTCCAGGTCTTTGTACGGTTTTCGCTTTGAAAAAAATGGTAAGCTCAGGAAGGCCAGATAAAGTTGTTGGGGCTGGGGGGGGGGTCACCCCTCTAAGCTCGGGGCCTGCATCAGATGCGCAGAGCCCGAAGCAACCCTATATGGGCTACAATATCATGAATCCCCCTTCACACGTGTTCGTGCCTACAGGAAATTGATAAAAAGAACAGCCAAAAAATCACGCTCCCGGTTTCAGCGAGGTCAGTTGTTGTTTCATTCTCTCCCCAGATTGTTAATGGCTAGGCCAAGTGCTTTTACCACCTCGTGCTCCTCACACGGACCTTGACATGCCACCAAACAAAGCAGACGAACGCCCCGAGCAAGTCATACCCTCAATTGGAAAGCTGTGTTGGCCCTTTGGTTTTGCTTTGGGTGGGAGAAAAGCCTCACGATCACATCTATCTAAATTGAAGCTTCTCGCTCCGCGGCTTTTTGTGTGATACAGGCACAGTAGTGGTTTCCGTTGATGACGCTATGAATATTCATGCTAATCTATGTATATCTCATACTCTTGTAGGATAAAGATGGATTTTGCAGCGTCGTATCATATGAAGAAAACAAGAGAAAAAGGGACAGCCAAGAAGGATTATTGGATGTACATGTAAATGTCGTAGACTTTTCTATTGATAGAGAGAGGGGTGGATTCGCGATGTGTTGTGTGTGTGTTTTATTATTAGCATCGACCGCGCTAACCGGCTGACCAATGAAAAGACGTCAGTCTTAGTGCGGCTGAAAACACAAAACACTTCTAAATGGCATTTACTGAAGGTAGCAACAGAAGAAAACTTCACACGTCTACGAAGGCTGCTACCTTGCACTCGAGTTCGTTTTGAAGTGCTTTCACCGTCATCCTCCTTCCTTCCAACTGTCCATCGTTCTCATGGTCGTTTTCACGGCAACTTCTCGACATTTCTTCTCTAACCCTGCGTCGTTTGTGGTGGGGAAGGTCATCTGGCTCGAAGCTCTTGTTCTCTTCCACGCCATTATTCCCTCCTCGACTGCTGTTTTGATCTCTGTCTTGTCCTCCTCCCGTTCCCTCTCCTCCTTCTTCGTCGCTGCCGAACGAATTCCGGTCATTACCATCCTGGTCGTTTCTATCTGCACTACTACCGTGATCCCAACCTATTGGCCGAGGTGAGAACTGATCAAGAAGTAGTCCGTGACGTTAGGGACTCATCACGAGTTCGTACGGATAGAAAATGAGCCAGCTCGAAGGTAAACCGTCTCCGAATCCTATTGATATGAAAAGCCTTTAGGCGAAACAAGGCTTATTCGTCGTCAAAATTACCCTTGCAAAAGGCTTCATATGCCAAGTGGTTGGCGATGGCTACGATAAGTCGATTTGTGCCTTTGCCAAGACCACCATACGTTGAAAAAGCAGCAGTAAGAAGGGTAGATCTTGACGGGTTGAAAGTTCCTGCGTATTGATTTGCCTTACTTGCAGCTCGATCTTCGAGGGCGGATCCTGGCTTTTGGATCGACTTTGTCGATGCTTCGACCTGCGGATGAGTTGACGATTGTTTTGTCTACAAGAATGGACTTGGTGAAGAGTTCCCTTTCTTTATCTCCTGCGTGTAATCCTGGGGGGATTACCAAATCCATCTTGTAGAACCTCTTTCCCCTACCAGTGGCTGTAGTATATGGGGAAGAGTCTTCTACGGTGGCGATAGGCATGTGACATTCGCGTAATGTCTTTAATATCACGCGAACCATCCTGATGTGCAGGAAGGTCGAGGCACCGGTCTTTGTGCAGGCCAGAGAGTGCTGTGGGCTCAACCGTTCCTTGCACGGCGACAACGCACTTGCACCGCAAGGTCGCCTGTGTCACATTCAGTTTGATCGTGGCTCCCCAGCACACGACCGATTGACCCTCGGTACAAGCCAGGCAGCATTCGTTCATCTAGCGACAATCCTTGGGTTGTCAGCCACGACAAAACTCCCTTGCCTTTCACTTCCTCCAAGCGGACCAACGCCCTCTTCCTTGACGTTTCCTGTGATCCGACCTCTTTGAAATCTGTCTCCACGATATGACGCACTGTCAGTGAAGAGGTTTCGACAGGACAGCTTGAGTCCCAAAAACTTGGTAGTGTCGGCCAAATTTGTTTCGGCGGCATGTCGATGGTGTTTGCCGTTCCTTGTCAGGGTTGTCGCCTCCATTGCTTCTCCCCATCTTCCCAGCCTCCATGAAAAAATTCCTTGAAGAATGGGAGTCAAATCATCACATGTGACCAGTTTAGCCCATGACTGACCATCAGCTTTTTCAAACTTGTCTTTGGTGATGATCTCCTCCAGCTTCTTAAGAAAGTCAATCAGAGCCAATCCTGTTGGTAGCTGTGCAAGTCGGGGAAGACATTGCTCAATATGGTGCATCCTGTAGATGCTTGCACTGATTTGGAGAACACCAGTGCTTGACAGGCTACATAGGCCGACTCCCTAATGAGGACGTTGCTCGTGACCCCGAGTCCCCCTTCACGTATGGGCAGGTGTATCTGTGCCCTAGCTGTCCCTTTGAAGTAATCTACTTCACTCTTCGTCGGGTCTGCGTGTACTTCTCCTGCAGTCGGTGTTGTGTGTGTTTGTGTGGGTGGGTTTTCGTCCAATTTTATTGGCGACAGTTCCCCCATTTTTCGTGGTGAGAACCTCTTCATGTAGAGTAATGCACTTTTCAGTGTATTTTTTCGTACAACTACATAAAACGAACCATCCAGGGTCACACAGGAGGGGGTAGACGCACCGCCGGGGGGTTCTTCTTCTTAATTTACTTCCTCCCGCGGTGCGTGCTGAATTTTTTGCTGATCGAATATTAAGGTTAAAAGAAATAGTGGTTATTTGCCGGAGAATAGAATAATAATAGTGCTAATGCCCGCCCCCACCTGTCTGTGCGAGGAGAAGCTCCATGCACGTTTGTTTGCTTTCGCTGTCGCATATAATCTCGGCTATTGGTTAGGTCACAGTCAATGAAACAATGGCAATATATATGGGGTGTTAATATTATTATATTTAAGCTAGTCATTTTTCGGGTTTTTAGGGGCCAAGCAAGGTGAAGTAGGCGCCCAAGTCGTCGGTTGAACCAGTATGGATGTTAGAAGCGTTCTGCATGTTATGCTTCTACTGCTGGATGTACTGCGCTGTACTGATGATGAGACCGGAACGGTTTATATGTAGTTACACAATACAATTAGGTCTTTCCCGTCCATGCTGATCTGAAGACACCCACCCAACTGCCAACAAAACGCAACAACCTATCGATCTACTATATGTATGCGTATGCATACTGCTGTATTTCTACGGTTGGTTTCCCGAACAGCACACTGCGATATCTCGATATCTCCCCTTCCCTGTGGAGGGCAACTGACCAAAGAACCACTTGTTGTTCTTTGTCCATACGTGAAACATTTTTTTTTGCCTTTTTTGACCGTCCAAAAAGAGACAATCCTTTCGGACAGCCCCGTCCTGTCCTGTCCTGTCCTTTTCTGTCCAACTTTGACACGAGATTGGTCTGTCACTAAATGTTGTCCTTTTCGTTCACAGCCCCATGACTCCTACCTACAACCTTGACTCTCTCGACGGTTGATCCCCGCAAACTCTGACGGTGGTCACACGAGTTGCGTTATGTGGCTGGCAAAGAGTCGGTAGCATTGGCGCAGCCGTTGTTTTTTCCATTCGGCTGGACCAGGTGGATAGTATCCCCATGTGTGGGGCAAACGAGCCGAGAGCGAGCTGGAACCAGCCGCGGTGGGTCTTTTTTGGTGTGCTCTCGACTTTTGCGATCCCAACTTCTGGGCATCCTTTAGCCTGGTCTATATCAACCACGACGCCAGGCGAGCCATTCACACGTCGTAGCGGATGTCTTTGTCGTTGCTGTGGCTTCAGTGGGTGGGGAGGGATCATCGGTGCACCAAACTTGTGACACGAGCAAAAAAGAAAACACCGCTGCTTGAAGATACGTAGTAAGTCTTTTTTTCCGCATGCCCACAACATTAGGACTCTGGCACATACAGTTTCGGAGCGCCCTGGATCCTCCTGGTCTGTATCAACCACCACACAAGACGAATTATACACACGGTTCGTGGCGGATACCTTTGCCGTTGCTGTTGCTTCAGTGGGTGGGGAGGGATCATCGGTACAAACCTGTGACACGGGGAAAAAAGAACAGCAACAGCGTTTGGGGAAGTATTTTTTCTCGCGGCCGTCGACTCTCGCCACCTCAGCTGCCGTGCCTCCTACCGCCCCGTGGCCTCTATCAGCCGCAGAAGACGGACCATACACACAACTCGCGAGGGATAATTTCACAGTTGCTACTGCTTCACTCTGTGCGGAGACATCATCGAAAAAACAAATCGGTGGCAAGGTGCATGTACGTATTAGTATGTGGGAAGGTGCATGTATGTATGACGCGTAAAATTCCCAACGGCTGTTGCAGAGTTATTTTTTTGGTCGATGACCCGATGAGCAAAAGAGGATCGACTGCACGCTAATAAGTGGGCCATACACTTAGCATATCACTATTTATTTGGGCAGGTCCCTTCTGCAAAAAGGTACAGCCAAACAAGAGATTGCATTAATCCTGACCTAACAGCACCATACGCAATGGTATGTCCTGTCGTCCGCTCTACAAACCCAAATCCCAGGGTTTGTTGTCTTTTCATAAGAATTGGTTTCACTTCCATTTTTTTGGAAAAATCCCGGTATGCCAGGTGCCAGAGCAGGGGTCACAGAGAGGGGCACGTGAGCGCGAACGAAGAAGCACCTACTGGCAGGGGGGGGGGGGGGGTCTCACGCGAGTTCGTACTTACAGCCTGGGTATATATTTGTTGATTGAGGACGCAAGACATCACGACATCCTACAGCACACTTCCATTCCTCAGCGCCGCTCTGTCGCACAGGGGAGCTGCAGGGAGAGTTGGGGGCGCAAAGTCTTGCAACAGGTTTTCGGGGTGCGAAGTGACTGCTGTGTGATTTCTCTTTAACACAAACAGACAGCCGTAATTAGCTCCCGAAATCCCCACGGACAACACGCCGTTGCTTCTGGGTGGTGACAACATCTGGATAGTTCATCACAAGCGCGGGTCTCATGGCAGCACCACCTCTCTCTCTCTCTCTCTCTCTCTCTCTCTCTCTCTCTCTCTCTCTCTCTCTCTCTCTCTCTCTCTCTCGTTCTCTCTCCCTGCACTCACACTGGTATACATTTCCTGCTCAAATCACCGCTGGTGCTGCTGCATGCACCAGCAGTAAACAACAAGCAGTAGTACCTATCCGTTCGTGGCGCCGCGTCGTACCGAGAGGATTGAAGTCTTCAGTAGTACACAGCAATACCTTTCTATCCGTTCGTGACGCCATATCGTACAAAGAAAAAAACGGCACATAAATCAAGTCCTAAATTGGGTGGGCAGCCGTGGCACACGGCAATCTATCAACCCTACCCCTAGCCTTTCGCAGGAACCGCAGCACCGTGGTAGTCGATCCGGAACCAACTAGCCAACAGCAGTTAGCCCTGGCAGGAAACTATACCTTGGCCCCATGACAAGCAATTATCTGTGGCCAGAAGGCAGCCGAAACGCGACACAGCAGCCGCAGCTGCAGCAGCAGCTGGCTAGGGCCAACGCGTTCTAACCCTTGCCAGCAGCGGCAGCAGCAGCAGCAGCAGCAGCAGTGGATGTCCCAGCGTCACCTCCCGTCTCCGTAACAGAGCGCTCGAACCCGCGGCGTCTCCTCTCCATCTCGCTCCGCGCCTCCGAGTGCTCCATCACCGAGTCGGCCGGTACCACGCGGGCCACCCTCCGTATTGTGAAACTCAGCCGTTTCTGGGCCGCTTCTCCGACCCCACCAAGATCGCCGCCTTTCACAGTGCCGCTAAAGCTCGGCGCTACCTCATCTGCGCCCTGGGGAGCAGCAACACAATCGTCGATCGTACTAATGTTACCGCTTGTCGCGACCTCCGCCTCCGTTCGTGCAGGTGGTGCTGCTTCCGTTGCTGACATCGTCGCACCGCTTCCGGCGGTAGACGCGATGCCGTGCCAAGCCTCACGGTAGGCCTTCCCCTCGAACACGACTAGGCTGCAGTGCTCGCACTTCACTGATACCAGCGCTCTCTTCGCCGCCCGCCGTCTCTGGTGGGCACGGCCGTCAGCATCATCAGTTGCACTTTCATCGGTGAAAACGCTGTTGTCTTCAGAGCTGCTGGTGAAAGCGTCCCCCGCCGCCAGCCCCGAAACAGGAACGGCGCATATGGCACGACCACTAGTGGCACCGGCTGCAATGTCGGCGCAGTCTGCCTTGGCATCTTCGAGCGACCCCCAGAAGTCCAAGAACGCCTCCTTTCCGAGGGACAGGATTGCCACCCGCCCTTCGTACAGCGGACCATCCTTGTGAGGACCTTCCGGGTGTGTGGAGGGTCACAGACGTCAGGCAGAACAGGGGGTGCGCTAGGCAAGCGAGGACACGGACGAGGAACAGCACGCTGTGGCCCAAGACTCTGACCTGGTGCTATGCACTTGTGTCCAACTCGAGTACTGGGTTAAGTGTCGAACACCCTCCTGCGGACCGCATAGAGACGGGCTGTTGAACGGTTGATGGTCCTATTCCGGTCCCGGCATGTCGTGACAAGGGGATGCGAGGGGGGGCTGTTCAACAAATTTGAAGAACGTGGACCAACACACGAGAAAGGCTTGGCAGTGGTACCGTGATCCGACGTCTACCGTGGTACTTGGAGCTGGCATACCATAAACAGTAAAAATGTATCTCGGCTAAGGGCTCAGTTTCTCTACGTGGAACATCAGAGGCGAACATGGATGAAGAAAAGAATTCAACGACACTCCCAATCGGTACATGGTGTACCTATCCCCTGTCCGTCGCTGTATTCATTCAGGAGCACATGGTTGGGCGGAGAGCTCTCCGGAAAAACTCCAGCCTCAACCAAGGCGTCGCAGACTGGGAGGTTGGAATAGAGAAAATGGAATGGGGGCAGACCGGCGTGTGTGGTGTTTGTAGGGGGGGGGGGGAGGGATTGGGCGCGCGGGGAGGGGGTGAAGAAAACAAAGGCCATCTAAAAAAGTGAAAACATATATGTAGCCATGCCTTACAACACCAGTGTTGCCTACAGGATCAGTGGTATAAGACTTCTTTTCCGCTGGACCCCTGCCGAGAGAGGCATGCACTGTATGCCCTAACGTATGCATACCCTTACAAAATATCTCTCTTTGCGGAGGAAGTCTCCACATGACTCAAACAAACTCCGAGTCCCACGGTTTCAAAGAGAGTTTTATTCTCCGAGGTTCTTCCCGTCTGATGCTCACCTTCTTGTAGAAAAGCCGGCAGCTCCTCTTCGACCATTCCGGACGGATGCGGTGTGCCCCCGTGAATCTGCAAGCGCCGCTTGTAAAGATCTTTCCACTCTCCTCCACCACCGCCGCCGCCACTACCACCATCGCCACTGCGAGCCGCTAATTCCAATCCCCTACCTTCCTCCTCGGTGACAAAGCCGGGGACGTAGAAGATACCGTCGATTCCTCGTTCTGCTCCTTCCGCAGAAACGCGATGGTTGCGCTTGAGGTCGAGCCGAGTCCGCCGCTTCGACATGTACCTGTGTCTGTGAGGCATGGAATCGAGAGTCCACGCAAAAAGGAATATGGATTCGTTGTGTCATATTAAGAAAAATAAAAAAACAAGGAAAACTTTGAACATATTTTTCACCTGATTTACCGTGGGACAAAAGTACGGCCCGGCGGGGGCGCGGGGGCAGGATATTTACCAACGGACGGGGCTCAATGCCACGTGTCCGTCCCTGAGCACGGCGACCATGCACTCGTACAGAACTGCTGGTGTGTTGGAAACAACAGGAACTCCCGACAGCACAATTTCTCTATGTTTCGTTGCAGATGCTTCACTGTCATGGCGGAGTTGTTGCTGCAGCAGACGTTCTGCCTCGATCAACAGGCGTCGTCAACTATTGGCGGCATGCTGTTCTACTGGCGCGGTGCTAACTAATACTGCTGCAGACGAATATTGCGATGGTACCTTGCTTTGGGCGAGCTGGGAGTCGCTGCTAGCTTTTTCATCGCAAGCTCCCGCTCCTTGCGCATCATCTCCCTGAAGTCCAGAGCTGTCGAGGCCATCTCTGGTTGCCCCTGACCCCGAGATGAATCTGCGGCAGCGGAAGTGCTTGACGATCTGCTGCCTGGTGATAGGCCTCCGGCAGCTGCGGAATGGCCTCTACCGTGTTTGCTGGCTAAAGCGAAAGGGGCTGACGCGAAAGACAAACACAGCCTCGCGAGAAAGGCGAGCAGAGCTGTGCGCATGGGTAGCAGCGGCAAGCTGAAGGCGTGTGTGTATCCGCCGTCTGTATCAGGGCCAGGACAGCTGATGGTGGAGGCCAGCTGGGTGGTGGAGCCGCTTTTCATCCCGAACAGTACGGGTTCAACTCGCGAACCAGCAACATCAACAACAACGCCTCGTGAACTTGAAGCGCAACCCCCCTCTCCCCCCCTCTCTCCCCTGCTGTGCACTCCTTTGGTCGGGCGCAAACACACAAGACAGCCACCATGCAGGCGCTTCACCGACTACTGCGAGTATCGGGACGAGTGGCGGTCTCGCAGCGACATGTTCTCGGTGCTGGTAAGCTTTCGCCCCTAAGTCAGGTAGTCAGAGTGGGAATGGGGGATGCCGATCGATCGTGTGCGCCATGTGCACACCTGGTGTTCGTATAGCGGTCTGGTCTCAACTGACAACAGCACCAGCTAGGACGCTAGGACTTGCAAAGAACCCTTTGTCCCCACCGTTCACTGGCGTTCCCCACTGCCATGCCTCCCTGCAGTCGGTGGTGCGGGGCTTTGCGTTTCAACAGTAGCCATCCACAGGCAAATGGCGGCGGGGGCGATCCCGTCTTGCTCCGCGATGACTGCGTCAACAGCAGCGGCAACCGCAGGGGCAGACGGCAACAGCAGGCACTTGGAAGGGGAGGACATTACGGTGTACCAGTACAAGATATGCCCGTTCTGCAACAAGCTCAAAGTGGTGATGGACTTTCTGGGCATCCCGTACTCTGTCACGGAGGTAAAATCAAAGCTTTCGGCCGCAAAACACAATCTCTGCAAAATGGTAAAGCCCGTGCAGGACGGGGACCGCCCCTGAGTGATGATGTTGCGAGCTCCGCAAAACAACAGCAGCTCGCTACGTGTTTTTGCGCCCTGTTGCTACGGAACACCGAGTGTCATACCCTCAGTGCCGTTGTTATCGAATCATTTGCTTCGTGCTGCCTTGTACTGCTCGTACAAGATGACGAGTTCTGGTTGGAAGAGGTTCAAAACTGATCACCAACGTTACACACGGTTCGTGGTTTCCTTCGTGGTTTCCAGCACGCTCACAAACCAATGGCACATTCACACCTTCCTGAACAAGAGACTTGCTTGGCTGGATTGGAACATGTACACCGATCGGTACAGAGGTCCCCTTGCATTGTATACATGAGAGCCAAAATGCATATGAATATAATATTAATATTGTAACTCTTGTCGTGAACACTGGGAACTCGCCTAACAATCTCGGGTCCCTTCGACACCTGTGGGAAAAAACGAAGAAAAAAAAAAACGCCCCCGTTTCCGTGGTTTATCAGGGCTTCTCAATGCGCAGGGCTGTTTTATCAAACTCTGGTGCGATGCATCTATCTCTTCCGTATGCATAAAAGAGAATCAAATACGGTTGTGTGGCAAAACTCGAACATGGTGCGCGAAAGGTGTGTGCCACACATTGAGCCGACTACTCCATTAATATCACGCTTTACCAAATGCCCGTCCCCGCGGTGGCGTACAAGGTTGCACTTTGTGGCACAGCAGATGCGCCGGTTGACAAAAACCAAATACAACTTTTGCTGCACGTGGCTGTTTTTGGGAGTAGCGGGTGAAAAGACGTGTTGTTCAACTTTTGGTGACAAAGCTCTTCCTGTCCTCCAACTGCCCACACTCGACCCCGTTGCCAACCCAGCGTACACTAACAACAACGACCGGTCTCAGGTTGAATCGCTGAAAGAAGATTATGCCGTTCTCACAATGTTGCAGAACCCCCCCACGTAGCCAGGGCCGGCGAAAACCCCGCACATCGCTCCGTCCCGGCATTGTAGGGATGCGAGGTCAATGGCCTAACGACTACGGCATGCGTTTACATGAGTACCCCCCCCGTCCACTGAAAAGAAACGCGTCCCCACACCGCAACAATGAAATATGTCCAGGTCAACCCGCTGACAAAAAAGGAAATCAAGTTCTCGGAAGACTACCGGAAAGTCCCCATCGTTCGCATGGGCGGGGAGCTGTTCAAGGACTCGCCGGTCATCATTGATGAGCTCATCGCCCGCCTGCGGGAGACGAAGGTGATGTCGGACGAGGAGCACGCTGTGTTCTGCTCATCGGACGCCAAGAAGTGGGCGGAGTGGGCAGACAAGCAGCTTGCCGTGTTGCTGTTCCCGAACCTCACCCGAAATTTCTCGGAATCGTACCAGGTGAGGGGTGTCTTTTTCTCGGCAGGGGAGGTGGGGGGGTGTACTCATGTTTTGCATGCCTTAGAGGTTCGACCATTGATCACGCGTCCTCGAGAGGACGGATCGTTTAGCACAGAAGGGGAGAGCAGAGGCGGAAGCTCTGGCTTTGCTATGGCGTTGTCAATAGTTCCCGGCTCCCGAACGCGTAGGAACGGACGGGTGGACGAGCAAGCAGTACTGATGTCCGCGTATCACGTCGGGAAGAGAGGTCTCGTTCAATGGTTCCATAGAGAAGTGGTTATTTCCCCCGTAAAGGTTGTATCCCCCCCGCCTCCTGTTGGATAGAGTGCCAACATGTGGGTAACCCACGCGCTATTTCGCTTTTTCCCCCGCCGGTTTTGGGTGCTGGAGTAGCTCTAAAATGGCGCTGTCTAGCCTTCCGCACCGCGAAAATACGGAGTCCCCCATCCTGCGCAAAAACCTACAAGTATATGTTATCTGTTGGTTTCCTCGCAGAAGAAACAAGTTTTGAGGGTTTGCCCGAAACAAAAGGTCCTCATCTGATGGCGCGTTCTGCACACAAAGCGTTCACACCTTTTCTTCCATGAATTTCGTTGCCCCTCCTTAACCACCGGCATACTGTTTCTGCGCGTCCACTTTGGTTGTATGCAGGCGTTTTCGTACGTAAACGACGTCGACACGTTCAGCATGATGGACAAGATATCGAATCAGGTCAGTTTGTTGGCCCACCTTCTCTCAGATCGAGAGCGGTTGCGCTATTATCGAACGCCTTTTGGTTGCCTCCGTGTGCAATTTATGTGGAGCCGATGGGTCTTGACAAACTGTCGTGTCTGTACCGTTTGCAAGTAGCCTTGACAAGAGATACAACACACGCCCGCACTTAGGAACCTCTCTTATCATTTCGGCCGATGCTAGGGTTCTTACTGTATTCCTAGGGTCATGCTATGAATGGTCGCTATATAGGTTTTAGTGTAGTGGTTCTAACGGAGCTCATAAATGGTGCGCAAGTTCTTCCATTTTGATTCTTTTTAGGCTCAACTTTTCTTCTTTACTTATGGGTTGTTTAAGTGCGGGCGCGTTCTGTGTGTGTCCCCACCCTGTGATCCTCCTCGACACGCAGACCTTCATCCGCGAACATAAACCTCAAGCGATGAATCATTTTTCTTGGACAGGTGATCGGGTCGGCCGCCATGTGGGCGGCCCAGGGCAAGATTAAAAAGAAGTACAACATCGACGACGAGCGGGAAGCGCTCTTCTCGGCCATCAAGGACTGGACGGACGCCCTGAGAGAGGTCGACGGGCCTTTCTTCGGAGGGGACCGACCGAACCTCGGCGACCTCTGCGTGTTCGGGTGTATCCGGGCGATAGAGGGCTTGGACACGCACAAGGACGTGCTCGCGAGGCAGGGCGTAGGGGCGTGGTACCAGAGCATGGTCTCGACGCTCGATTACGCTCCTTCAGCCTAGAAGTATTCGGGTTTCCGTTTTCACACCTTAAGGCGGGAGGGAGAGAGAGAGAGAGAGGGAGAGAGGCCTTCTAAGTTGTGGTCCTCGGGTTCTTATGATCCCTCCTTAGGCCTCTCCTCTTGTCGTTGAGTTTTCGGGTGGTGTTTTTGTTTGCTTGCCTTTCGAAACGCTTGCGAATTTGATGGTGGACGCCAAGGGCTCGGCTCACAGAGCAGGGCATGCTCTAGAGGAAGGGTATCTGGGCGTGTGGTATATCAACCATGGTACGGACACTACAATTCGCCTCTAGCTCCTAGAGATGTACTAATTGGTGTACCCTTTTTCCTGCGGTGGATAAGGAGGAACTAATAGTGTTGCTGCCATTTTTTGTCGTCGCTTTGATAGCTTGTCTCCGCCGAATGTTTGTCGGGCGGTCCTTCGACGCATCCCGTCGAATTTAATTCTTCGCCGTGAGAAAAGCATGTGTCGGCACAAGAGAGTGAAAGTTTGTATTGGCGATGGAGGCTTGCCACACGAACGAAAAGCGTGGTCGCGACGGAGGGCGTCGGAGCACGTGCCATGGCGTTCTCGCGCTAGAATGTGGTGTGGGAACCGGTGTTGTTACTACTACATTTTTAACGGTACCAAACGTGTGGTCTCAAGCTTGAGTACGCACCTGCAGGCTAACGAGTGTTCGGCGCGTGAAGCTTGTCTCGTTCTTGCTTTTGGTGCTTGGTTTGATCGACGGCGTGTGGGAATAGTTGGCAAAGTGGCGTTTCGGTTCTGGTTTGCTCGACCGCTTGATGAGAGCTGCGCCTCGCTTTCTCTTCTCTCTAGGGTGGCACTGCTTTTTACGTTTTGCTTGCCAGCTCCTGGTGTGGCATCATGTGTTGAGATTCTCGTATGATATCGACATACATAGGTTGACCGTCTACAGCCGCTTGTGTTTCTCCGGTGTAGTTCCTGGCGGGAAAGCTTTCTAATGCATGTCCATCGCGGAACTTGGAACCATTCTGCAGCGGTTCAATTAGATGGGGTGTGGTTTTGGGATCATGATTCAGTGCCCTGTTCTCTATTAACCCGTACGTTCAACAACGCCATGGCTGGGGTGTTGCTGCCCCCGACACCATCATCCTGTTCGTTTGTGTGCCGTCGGGCGTACTTGGGGCTGGGGAAGACGGGGGGGGGCGAGACTTCTTGACGCTGCTCTACAGCTTGGTTCACACCCGGAAGTACATATCAGTTTCATCCTCATTCATGGCTTTGTGTATTGCTTGTGGCCTTCAGGATGTCGCCAGAGATGAGCAACTAAACGAAGCGCACAGAGTACTCGTGGACGACTTGACGGGACGTTGCGGCTTGACCGCACGTTGGCTGCCAACGTATTATTTGTGACTGCCTTCGGCATCGCACGCGCGCGTTGGATCAGATGAAAGCTAGTTTGATACCTCGCCTGGGATTTGGTCGTACAGCAGTGTGCTTCAAGAAAACACTTGGTAGACGCCGATCGGTTGGGTGTTGCAAATTTGGTCGTTCGTGAACCTTGGATGAGCTTGAAGGTTCACTGTCTTGAAACCCTGACTGACCTGTCAAAACGGCGGCCGCCAGACAGTACTGTACACGAAGGTGATAGATACATACACGAACCCGTACCCACAACGGTTGGGCGGAAGGAAATGGTATTTTTGTTTTTCGCAAAGTTCCTGGTTTCGCTCAGCTCGCACAATATCTCAACTCGAATGATCCATGTGTGTTGCACTTTAACCTATTGTAGCGTTCTTGTCGCACGATGCACTGCCGGGAACTGCATCCCCTGGCATAACAACCCTTAGGGCTCTAATTTACGAGTCATGAATGAAATAATCATGGTTGGTCACGGTGCGTGTTAATACGACGGCTGTCCTTGTATGTAAGTGGTGCAGCACAGCAACAATGAGCTACACAGCAGTCAGTGTAGACGGACACAGAGTCACGAAAAATAGAACAGCATCGAAGCTACGGGCCCAACTGCTGTACTCTATGAATGTACACTGTCGATAGACTAAAACATACGTACATGTATACATACATCGCGAGCACCTTCGCGAGGCACACACCTACTCACACTATGTACAGACTACAATTGTTTGGTATACCTGAATAGTCTGCAGGTACATGTGTACGCCTATCCCTGTTCGCTTCCTTTTTCGTGCTCTTTGCTTAGCGTGCCTTTTCTCTCAGACAATGTAGCCCCGAGGAATTTTCACAGAATCTTCCGGCATGATTTGGCAGTTTGATAGACACCGTTGGATATACCGGTCATCTGGTTCATCTTGTATCGACTACCACGGTATATCCATCTGGTACGAGGCATCGAGCACGGGCTGCGCTGCAATGGGATCCTCGGGTCATAAGACCGAACGGGGGCATCATAGTGTGTCCAAGCTTCACACCTCTAGGGACTCTCCCAGTACGTGTCAGCGACACTCCGAGACTTTCCGCCGTGAGTATTCCGAATTTGTTTCTGGACGTCTGCACACGTACCACCAATTTCCAACGGAAGGAGTCGTAAGGTGTGCTGGCTCTATCTCCTTCTCCATCGTATCCCAGAATACTTGCACCTTCGCACCGCACACACGATTAGCTTCCCGACTACCAAGCACGAGCATCGCGAAGGTGAGAAAAGATTCGCAGGAGGGGCTTTCGTTGGCCCAGCATGATGGAGAATCAAATGCCGAAGGGCGATGGCGGATCAAATGTCATCTCCGAGACGGAACTCTGTTGTGCATATTTATCCGCCGATGATCTGTTCGAGCATGCCCCAGAGAAGAGATCTTGCAGTTTATTTTATTTCGCGTTGATTTTGTATCCACTACGCGGGACTCTTCCAAGCAGCATGCGCCAGACACCACGAGAACTTTCCGAACGCGGCAGGTGTTCCGACATGTTTCTTGTTGATGGCTGCACCCGTTCCACCATTTTCCAGCAGGAGGAATCATAAAGCTGCTGGCTCTACGTATCTAATTTCCATAGTGTCCTACCGCTATCAGATGCATGCATACTTTGCACCTCCCCCCCGCACACCCACACGCACCGCACACACGATTGATTTTTGTTTCCTCACTACCAAGCACAAGCATCGTCGCAGGTGAGAAAAGAAGCACGCGGGGGGTGGTTTTTGGTGTACTGCAGTCGCGGCATGATGGAAACGTTCGACCAAGAGCAAGTAACAAGCGTTGTGCGAAGAAGCTACAAGCTCAAGAGCTATAGTCTAGACCTAAAAGTAGCTGCTTGCTGTTCATCAGCATTTATTGCATTAAGAGGCCGCGGCCGCCAGATCAACCTACTGCGCAATTTGTTCGTTGTTCGTGAATATCCATAGGCACGGAGTGTGTGAGGCTAGCCTGGGTCTTATTTCCAAAATCCATCGGTGCTCTTGTGCTTTGAGAACGCACCCACCCCAGGGTGGCGTTCTTCGATAGGTACATAGTGTGTGAGGCTATGTAGGTTGGGTCTTGCCTCCAAATCCTTGCTCCGGCGCTTCGAGAACGCACCGGGGAGCGTTCCGCTCTTCTCATTATTTGAATGCGCCGCCCTCACAGCCCTCACAGCGGTGTTCGTTGTGTCGATACAGCGCAGCAGCAATCTAACATAATAATAACAGCTTTTCTGCCGTTCATACGCATACACACGTCCCTTCTATAGTAGAGCTCGATAATTTCTCGACAAGCGCCAACCTCTCACTCTTGGCTGCATATGAAAATGCCCAAGCTCGTCCTGGGTCCTTTCAGGAGGTGGAGCAGTGCTCGGTGCATACAGCAGTATCAGGCGAGGATTTCGATTTTCCTTGCTACAGAGAATCAGACAATGTGTGTACGTGCTTGTATGACGTCCGTTCTCATTTGAGAGGCACATGGTAGCTGGAGATGCTCTGTCGCCTAAACTCTCCATCGAGAAAGGAGCAGGTAGGCTAACGAAACATCAAACACCGATCGATTCCGTCCTCCGTGTTTTCGCGCGTCATGGTAACCATTTGGCGGCACAGAATGTTGAGTCATCATGCGTGTGGCCTGTTCGCCCTGGCTTTGGTTGCGGCGTTGCTCGGAGTTGATTCGGCGCAGGAGATACCGCTGCTACCTGGAGGAGAATCCCACCGTGGTCAAATCCAGCTAAGGCAGTCCCGCAAGCATGTGCGTGGGGGCGGGGAGGCTGAACCTATCGGAGGGGGGCGTCGAGGCATCAGCACCACGGCGCTTCACACCAATGAAGGAGAGCTTCTTCCACAGGTTCCCTCGTGGGCGTCTCCTGTCGGAGCTGCAATCCCGTCCTCTTCACGCCAGCACCAGCGCCGCAGAACGGCCGACAGCTGTGAAGACGGCGATCCGTTCTCGATATCCTCCTCGCTTATACCTACCGCCGACGGGTGCTACTTCGAGACCGACGACACAACCATCAGCAGCGACGAGATAGTTTATTCACCCTCAGGGACGACAGTCGCCCAGCAGATGTGGGTGTTCACGGGTGGGCTCGAAGGCTCCTTGAATGTGGGTACCTTACCCCTCGCCGGAAAAACGCTATTATTATTGTTGAGACTCGAGAACAGTTTCCTCCATGGCTTGATGGCACATGCTTGGGTTGAAACGCCTTGGACGGACGGATGTGTGTAGATGGAGGATTCTCGGACGTGATCGTATCAATAGACGCTTTCTTGGGGTATTTTTTCGCTCTTGCACTACCAGTCCACCTGACGAATTCATCTCCACCTTCGTTTAGGCATAGCGTTTGGTTCATGTCCTAAGAAGCGTCCTGTATTCGTTCGTCGCTACTTCTTCTTCTGCCGTGCTGCTTACGTCTGCTGTGCCACCAGATCCATTGGTGGTTGGGTTTCGTTAACTCCGTCGACGACTCTGGCTATTTTACTTTTTCGTCCTACTGCGTGTCCAACGAGCCATCTTCCTTGTACCACCCCGCGGACGTGCCCAGCTGGTGGTGTGAGTATGCTGTGCCAATGGTCTGTATTTCGCTCACGCAGGAGGTCATGAAGGGTGAACCTTCGTTAAAATGAACTTGAGCCAGTAACCTGAAGCAAGACAAGGCCAAATAAATGTGCACAATTATAGCTTGGTAACCATGTATGCAAGCTATTCTCAGGCCTTGATTGCCCGTGTCCCTACATACAGTAGTGTTGCGAGTGTTCCTTGACTTTGTATGCTCAGTGCTAGCAGTGTGCCTCTTCCTCGCCTCGATGATCCTCACCAATGTGACGAAATATACGCACATGAAGTCTAGAGCATTTATCAAGGAGAGTGAAGTCCAAAGGCAAAGCCTCATTATTGGGGTTCTGTGGGGAAAAAAAAGTCTGGTCCAAGGACGCACACAAAAACAAATTCCGACACCTAACCCCCAAAGCTTTATTTTGGACCTCTCCGGGGGGGGGGGGTACGAAGGCCCCATCCCCCCCGCCCGACGCCATACAATTTCCTATATAAAACAAGCCCATACTAAATCCTATAAATAAAGGGGGCACATTTCATGCACGGGGATGGTATAATCCACGTAGTCCCTGGGCGAGCTTGCGTGCAGAAGCAGCAAATCGAGGAGGAGGGGGTGGAGGGAGGGCAAGGGCGCTCGACGCACAAGCGCTCGAAGAAGGGGCTGTTTTGTCTTGTTGAGGGGGGTGTGGGGATTGGGGAAGTGAATGAGTACAACGCACGGCAGATTGCAATTGTGTACGGATGTTATGTTGCACTTGGCGAGGGTGATGCCACCGACGTACGCTCATCGCCAGCCCCTCTCCGGTATTTTACCGGCTTGAGTAAGCTGGAGAGATGTGTCTTTTGGTTCTGGTGTATCGTTTGTTTGTGTTATTTCGCCTTATTCGCCTAAGGGAAGATGTCGTGGACCTGTCGCAGAAGCATTGAGAAGTTCTGAGTTACTTGTACCTTGGGGAATTTGTCCTCAAGCACTATACTTCAAAGCTTGAAAGCCAACTAATAGAAGTGTCCGAAGCCCATCACTGCTTTTATTCGAAGCAGCAATCTACTTCTTCCGGCGCCGGATGTACCAACTTAGATGTACATACCATCATATCAAACTTATCAAACTACTAACAAGGTCCTTTGTACACGTAAACACCAGCACACGAAGCACACGTAATTGAGAGGGAGGAAGCCAAGAAAGCCAGTACAAAAATATACCATGAAAATGAAATTTTTTCGCGGCCCTCCGGGGGTGGGTGGGTGGAGGGGGGTTAGGTGTCGGAAATTTTCTTTTTGTGCGCCCTTGTCTGGTCGGACCAGTCCAGCACAACATGACAGTCCCATTTCCAGTCCCGTCGGTCACGAGCGGAACAACTCTTGTATTTCTCTTCTCCCTTCGTCACACAGTTATGCTATACAGAACGTCTTAGTAGAATGTTAGGTGCCGTGGGGTTGACTGAATCTTGGATAATAGTGCAATGGTGTGGCGACTCTGTTGTGCAAACGAAACCCTTACTGTCCCGACCTTGTAGCAAAACCTAGAGGAGGAACACTGCTGCCCAAAGTACGCTGCTAGAGACTGGCACGCCCATCAGCTCAAAGCACAACTGATTTGTACTCGCTCATCATCCGGATACCCTTCTGTTGCGCGTTCGGCATCTCCACGCCCGATTTCATACATACGTCAGGTGGCTACGACTCTGACGTATCGACAGACGATTTCGACGTGACGTGCGGCGGCGGGTGCTCAGGCCCGTCACCGTCCTCGTCGTCGACGACGCTCCCTTCGCCTACCCCGGAACCTGCGCCGGAAACTTCCGAGCCCACCGAGGCTGCCACGCCAGAGCCCACCGAAGCTTTAACTCCCGCGCCAACAACTGAACCCGCCACGCCCGCCCCAGCGACGCCTCCGACGCCTTCACCAACTGCCATGGAGACGCCCGAGCCCACCGAACCTGCCACCCCCACGCCCACCGAAGCTGCTACGCCCGAGCCCACCGAAGCCTTGACTCCCGCGCCAACACCTGAACTCCCCACTCCCGCCCCGTTGACGCCTCCACCAACCGCCGTGGGGACTCCCGAGCCCACCGAAGCTCCAGCCCCGTCCCCAACACCGGAACCCCTCACCCCTGCTCCGGTGACGCTAACTTCACCGACCCCTTTCGAGACGTCCGAGCCCACCCCTTCCCCAGTCACCACCGGCAGGGAAATCGAGCCTGTCCCTTCCCTACCACCGGCCGACGATACGCCCGCACCGATAGTTTCGACGCAGGGGCCGACGCATTGGCCGACGCCGGGCTCGGTGGCGGACAGCACTTTGCCACCCGATGGTGCTGCTCCGTTGCTCGGCGGCACACCGGCTCCCTCTGACGACCAGAGCCGTGCGATACAAGGTTCTGACGCCGTTGGCCGATACGCTCCTTGGTCGGTTGTCGCAACGATTGTGGTGGGCGTACTGGCTGCTGTGGCCGCCGCAGTGGAATGGTGAACTACGTTCCACGTAGATCAACCAAATATCCCTCTTGTTCAATGGGTTTGGGGGATGTATCCGGGATCTGTCAGTACGGTTGGGTGCATCGAAATCGTGGCTGTTTTGCTTGTTTTTTTTTTCTGCCACTGCAAAGATATCGGCTTGTAAGCAGAAGAAGCATGGCACGATTTGCACCGATGGGTATTGTTTGTTGTGTACATACATGAGTCATCGTCGGTACGAGAAAAAAACGCAAGATTTTGCGTACCTTCAGTCTAGGTCAAGGGGCGTGGGAAGCTAGACTGGTTTGGTCGTGCGGAATTGGTCGCCACCAACCCTAATGTGCTTCATGCCAATGGAATGACTACTTCGATGTCTAGGTCGCACCATCAAGGTTATATGGCACAATGTCTTCAGAGCGAAGAACAGAAACAAGAGCGGACGGTGATAATTTGAGGGGAAAGTGAAACCTTGTATTGTAGTAGGCGAAGATAGTTACTTCGAAACCAGTCACAGTCTATGTTTATTAGGCGAGGCACTCTTGTGTCCGTTTCGTTCTCTGGCCAATCGTTGGTGGCCCAATAAGAAAAGAGTCTGCGTTGTTGGGTATTTAGGCGTTTTGCCCCACTATGTTTCTTTGTGACATCGTTTCATTTTCCGCGCGTAATGGGACAGGTCTTCTTCAGTCTTTCGTTTTATCCGTTTCGTCGGCAATCGGGTACAGCAGGGGGGCTATATATATATATATATTGACGACGAAGTAAGGTGGATGGATTGGATATATGTTTGGAAAGATGTTGCAGCAAGGGGGTTGATAATCGGTCTATACTTGTCTCGTCTCGATGTTGGAGAAACGGTAAAGTTGGTCAAAGTTTCCTCTGACGTTTTTACGCACGTTATTTTTATTCTCTCTCGTCTGTTTTACTGTAGTCACCTGGTATTGGTTTTCTGGAAGAAAGATTTTTTTTTCTCCCATCATTGGACTCTGTCGTCTGCCCCTCTGGCCCCCATCCTCCACTTCTACTAGCTAGACGACCCAAGCGGGGCCACATAGGAGGGGGGGGTTGGACCCCCTCCTGCGGTTCCTGCCTGATATATTTTTATCGCGAGAAGGGTGAAGCAATCCCTTCCCTCGCGACTTATGAAGTCGATGTAGTTTACTAACAACGAGCTTTCTTTGCCGCGCGTCGCTTCCAACTCAGACCAGGATTTATTTAGTGAGAAAAAGAACTCACTCTGCCGCGGCTCGAACACATTACCTGGCCCTTAGTAGGCTGCGAGGGTACCCACTAGACCACCGGGGCGACCGGCCCCTGTAGTCTGTTGGAGGAAGGATTTGGTAGAACATGATTGATTGAGGTCCATGTGAATCCTATTCATATTTGAACTGGTCAATGAGTTGAATGGTACGCACGTGCAAACTGGTCGAGATCGGAGTTATTGTACAATGGATGCATGGAAGGATGGGTGGATGTGTTTCGAGGGAAAGAGAGAGTCATACCATTGTAGAGTCACCAATCATCAACCATCAAGGGTTCAAGTTGTTTGATGTGCACGCGAAATACGGCGGAACACTTCCGCGCAGGGAGGTTGCAGCGGTGTGGCCCGACCATTCGATGGCAGGCAAAAAGGGTAGACACACAGCCATTCCAGCGCCGAAAGTTGTCAATCCAGCTGTAGATTGAATGGGGCTTCTATTTGGCGGAGGATAGGCATAGGTTAGGCACAAATTCATCGAGACCGGAGCAATTTGGTGACGGAAGCACCTGCTGCAGGCTCGTGTTTGGTGCTTGAGAAGGCTGGTCATCGATACAGTCAGCTGTTAACGCAGGAGGCACCAATCAAGCTGAAACTTGCTGAGGGCGTCTAAAGTAGTGCAGGACGGCCTATTGTCTCATTCCTCGCGCCTCGGGCGTTCGGGTCAAAAAAGTGCTGCTTGCTTCGGAGCTTCGGAGGAACGTGATCATTCATTCATTCATTCACATTTTTTTCCCATTCTGTGAGACCTCTAGAGGCCGTAACGGTCTCGTAAAGGAATAGAGATGCAGCTCGCGTCGATGAGTGTGGTGCACGACTTCTGTATACACATGAATCCTGTCAGTCCGTTAGTTCGTGTATCGATCCCCCCGTGCTTGCTACTTGGATGGATTATTTCTTGCGAACAGGACCCTCTCTGTCTGTTCAACTACGGCACCAGAGGGCGAAGCATACAGTACAACGATGCCTCTTTTCCGCTGTAGTGAGCGGAGCTGCTGAAATTCGGGGAGGCGTCCATGATTTGCGATGCTCTATACGGAGCCATGCTTCGGGTGTCGCACGACGTGCGCTATAGCTCGAGATAAGCTTTTGACACCCGTCCGCAAGGCGGGAAATGATCCCGACATGAACATTCGGTAACGAAAACAACCCTGGTTTATATCGCGAGAAGGATTCAGGCGGATATTTTCATATTTTCTTCGTCAAACGTAAGGTCGCACACGAAATCATCGCTTCACAGCAGTGTTAGGGCATGCTGTGAGAAAAATATCCCAGTTCCCGTGACTGCACCGAGATTGGAATCCCCGTCCTAACGTCAGAAGGTTGCGAGACTAACTGCCGAAACACGCAAGCCACTGTTGTGCAACACTGTAAGGCCGAGGACGAGACACAAAGAGAGGTAGGGCGGGTGTGGGGTTGCTCCATGAAAGTCACGGAGGTTAAGATAGCTGACAGGAAGATCAAGAAAGGTCGTGCACACGGTGTTGCGCAACGATCAATTGTCTTATGGGCCGCGGCTTCTTGCAGACGTGAAAAACAAACAAACGAGTTGTCGGATGGGAGGGGGAGCACTAAGGACAGAGGCGGCATAGAATGTATTGGTGCTAGCGCAGACGCAGTTGACCGTTCTACTCCAAGTGTTTTCAATGTTCCGTTTTCAATGTTCCGTCCAGACGGATATCTCTTACAGCGCGGTCAATATCGAGAAGGCAAAATACAGCCAGCGTGGCGGACGGTAAAGGTATATCCGAGAGCTTCGCTAACGCTTCCGTACAGTACGATGTGCCATGCCGTAAGAGGGCGATCTTACTGGGAGCTCAAAGGAGCGTGACATGAATGATCGCCGTGCGTCTTGGAAACGGGCAAAACAACCACCACCCGCTCAACAAAGCCAAGAGAAAAGCACCGGTGAATCCGGTCATATTGACCCCCCGTGGTCTCACATTCGTTCCCACAGAACGAGGTGGGAGCCGTTTAGCACGCTCATCTATCACATCGATCGCTGGGATGACCATCACATAACGTGCGGTCCCTCAACTCAGGGTATATCCGCAAGGCCCGCCATAAATCATACCCCATGCGCCTAGCTCCAACCGAGTGGTGGAAGAAACACAAGACGCCATTCACCAGGAGACATGCATGGCACCACACAACACTCATACAAAAAACTGCGAAGTTCGCTTTCGCTTCAAAGGCACAAAAAGAAAAACCCACCGTTACATACATACTATACGGCTTCTACATCCTATCCAATCAGAAGCACATCAACAAAGCACAACTACTCCGCAAAATCTCAAACTATGTCACTTGCTTTCCGTCAAGACTACAAGCGAACCAAAGAAGGTAACACTACAATAACTTGTTTTCGATCAATTGAATTGTCGAGTTCGGCCAACGGATATGTGACAATTCGGGCACCGGTGCACCGTATCTCGGAGCTCCGGAATCAGGAACGGGACGAAGCTGCAGGGCCAGCATCCCACGAGGCAGCAGCACGCCGCGGCCAGGATTGGCATGTTGGAGCAAGGGTCCTGTCGGCAACCCAGAAACGACAAGAGGTAAAGGGTAAGACTAAATGTCGTTGCCGTGTTTGCAAGCGATCGCTGTCACATGCACACACGGGAGGTATCCGGAGTGTGCGGGTTGTGTGCCAAGGAAGTACCGTAGCGCGTCACGAAAGGGTCCCCGAAAATGAACACGAGAAGACACGCACGTACCCAAGCCAGCCTCCGTGGATAGCATCCGAAGGGGCTGTTGCCATCGCTACGCAACCAAAGTGCGAGCCGCCGCATACACCCAGTTGGTGTAATTAACTGCTTGTACCGAGATGCTTCTTCACTTCCGAAGAGGCGGTGAAGCCATTAACAACCGAAACCCTTGGGGTGACCAGCCCTGGTACACACCAAAGTCGCTTTTCGCAAAACTGCCTCTTTTTCTCCTGTGGTGTAATCATCTTCAGCTGGCCTTTGTTGCCGCTGCACCGGAACCCAACCTCAGGGGGAATCCTCTAGGTCAAGCAGATGCTGGTGGCACAAAAGTTGTGCGCCGGCAGTTGGCACGAGTGGTGATTCCCAACGACCCCATTCACGCGAAAAGCCGCCTCCTACAACCTTGCATACAACATTTTCCAGGTGGGGCCTTGCGGCGCGCAGCGACCGACGCGTTCACGGACATCTCTTAGGTACGACTGGTGCTGTCCGTCAAATCTTTTGAGGGTCGATTTTGGAAGTCGGTCGAACGTGGTAGGAGCGCCCGCAGCGACGCAGGGTTGTAATAGTATCGTGTCCTGCACCGCCCGTTGCGTCTTGTAAACTGCTGTGTTCTTTTCGACATAAAAAAAAGGGGGAAATGTCTCCCCCTGGCCGTCCCCTGTGTGTTCTTCGAGGCACGAGTTACAATCGTCTAAGGCTGTGGTTGTGTGACAACCGGTTGTGGAATTTGTGGAACCGTGGTCTGCAAACAGCATGAAACATGGTGTGTGTATCTTGGTCATCATGCATACTGTACAGTCTACACAGCAGTTCCAGTTGCCCCGTCCGCCCCCAAACAGGAACATTTTCGGGGGAAAGCGACATTTGCGCAGCCTGCCTAAGCTATAGACTATATGCGGCCGTCCTGCAACAGTCCCCGGAAGTTATCATGTTCTTAAACCCCACCCAAAACAAACATGAGATCCTCTTACCGTCATGGTTAGTGACAAGCCCGTGAACCCGCAGGCCCGACAAACAAAGGCCTGGGGTTGCCTCCCCCACTCTCCGAACTGATGCCCCGGCGGCGGCGCGTTCATCACGATCACCGTGTGCTGCCCGCCTCCCCCGCTTGGCACGGCAATGCCACGACCGTCGCCCGCAGCAGCGGCGGCGGCGGCGGCAGCCACATGTTCGTAAGAGGTCGGTGCAGACGTGATCACGGTGGCACGCGCAGGGGGGGCGGCGTGGTACGGTGTGGATTGGGAGACGGGGTCGCCGACGAAGATGCCCTGCGCGGTGGGCAACTCTCCGCCGCCGCCGTCTGCTGAAGAAGCTGCAGGGTCCTTTTTCTCTAGCTCCGCCGTTGTTGTCGTCGCTTTGCTGCCGCCGCCACCGCCGCTGGCACTTCCTACAGAGCCTGTTCCTCCGACTTCGGGAGGGTCTTTGCCCTTGCCGGGTGCTGCTGGCCTGCGAGCGCCAGCAGCAGCAACTTGTTGAGGTTGCTCCGCGTCGGCGGTTCGGGCATCCTCCTCTGCGGCTGAATCCGGAAGAGACTTGTAGCCGCTTCGGGACGCCATGGCTTCCGTGCGTCCGTTGTAAACCTCTAGCTTTCCGCGGCGAGTGGAAAGTACGCTACTTGCACCCGTAGCCAGAAGCCCACCTCGACCAGAGCGGAAGGCTCTATGGTGCGGTGTATGTTGGTTGATGTTTCGCTTCCCTCGAAGGAGCTCCGCCGAATGAGTATGGTATGCTCTTATTGCAGCTGCGTGGACCCCGCTGTGGTCTCTTTTCTCTTGTGCTCCTCCTGCCTCACACACACCTGCACTTAGCTATCATCCCCACGTCCCCAGGCAACCAACAGAGGTGAGCACGGAAGACGATTTCATGGTTGCTTGATGGTTGAGAAGAGTCTGCCAGGCCGGTGGCTTCAACCGCTTTGCTTTGCCTCTGAACTCCTTTGAGAAGGTCTTCGAACCGCTCGGACAGTGTTGTTGCGACAGAGCCGGAACATTTTTTGATTCCACCCAGCAACAAAGCAACAACACCATGAGTGCGCTGGAGTTTGAGACCCGTACTGGGAGGCGTGCAGGCGAATCATGCAGCAGAGGCTAGAGTTGCTCTTGCTGTAATCGCCGGAGTGTGCTTCCCAGCAGAGAGCAAGTCGACCTCTGCAGTTGTTCCAAAAATGGTTCATACTGCGCGGTGGTTTGTTCTTCCTCTCATGGATGATGCCCCGAGAGATGTTCTTGTCCTCTCGCGGAGAGCGTTGGCAGCAAACGGGCAACCAGCCTTTTACACCTCCCTCGAGATCGACGCAGGAGTCGCACCGTTGTGCGTTGCAGCAGGCGCACGAGTATGCACACCGAGCGCGTGCCTCCAGCACCAATTGCTGTGTACACTTTTGCCATGCAGAACTTTTTATTTGAGAACAAACACGTGTGTGTGTGGTGTCCGCTGGTTGGTGTCGGTATGGTATGCAAAACAATTGCAACATTATGTGCGAGCGATGATGGTGGTCAGGGCGCCAAGCTTGCTGTGCGCACCCCCCGTGGGCTAGCGCCCAGCTAGCGTAGAACAGGGTGAAGAAGCCGCGGCTAGTACGCCGTTTGCCCTCCCGGAAGGAAATCTCGGGCATGGAATTCCGACGGATTTGTTGATACAGCCCTCATGCTGTGGGCGCCGATCGATATTCATTCGTCTCTCTTGTTTTGGCCCTTCCTTCATCAACGTCGTAATCTACATCTATGTAGATATATGGATAGGTTCTTGGTTATCTCATTCTTCACTGCTGCTGCGGTTGTATGGGTATGTATCCGTTGGTCTTGTGGTTGTCTTGGCCTTGGCAAACCCCTTTGACGTCTCTCCTTTTTTTTCCTTGATGTGACACAACCAATCCATCTCAATCTATTGCAAAAGAAATATTTTTAGATTAGAAATGAATCGATAGCGTCAGTAAAGGCTACATACAGCAGCAACACCTGTATTCCACTCCCCTTTCAATGCTGTGAGTACACCCCCCTTCCAAGGCAAACAAAACTCATGATAGCTATTTGATTCAAAACGTGTGTTATTATGAAATGTACTGCTAGTTGTCTTGACATTGAAAATCGTTCCGTTCTAAGCTCAGTACAGTAGAAAACAACATCGGTCCAACTGAATCGCAAGTCTTTCGTGGTCACAGGCCAACTAGTCCACCCATAATAGGGTACGATACACACGTCCAACACAACACAAAAAGAGCGAATAATACTGGAGTAATATCAAAAAGAATTGACCACAAAGCGTAGAAATAAGAAAAGAGAAATCGGCATTTTTGCTGAGAAAGAATAAGCGTGAAACTCCCGAGTAGGAGAAGTAAAATAACGTTCTTTGTTTGCTCCGAGGGCACGGGAGATACAACACTGCAAGGCTGCAGGTGCTTCATTTATTTACATGTTTTCGGCAGGCTTTGTCTATGCGCTCTCTTGCACTCTTTTCTGCGCAGCATACGGTTCACCAGAGAAGGGGAAGCAAACGGCGAATAATACCTCAAGACCTAAGATAGCAGTCTCATCTACCTCCCCATATAGTACAACCCAGCATCGCCGTGGCTAGCATGCAACACATGATCAGACGATTTCGACACAATCAATGGAGCGGCGGCATATTTGTTGTTGTCAAGGCTGCTGCACGCATTGGTAGACACTACGAATAGATCGCTTTACTGCTGCGGCTCCGCTGCCAAACACCAGCGCACAGCGGTGACTGCGCTCATGGATCGCAAACCTTTCGCACCCTTCCGGACACACACCCGGGGCCATGCGTGCGGAAGCAGACCGGGTTTGTGGGGATCTAGACTTGTGGTCCCCCTCCATCGCAACGTTCGGTTCTCGAGTTCGAAACCATTTTTCCGGTGATTTAGCGGGTAATAATTTGTTGGTTTTTTCAACACCCACCGGCTGGTTTTTAAAAAGAGAAGTAACCAGAAACGGGTATACCCGGGTGGATTATCACCATTTCAGGGTACGCTTGGAAATCAACACGACACCAATCTCCGACAGCATCCGCCGTAGATCGCGGCGAAACCAGTATACCGCTGTCTGTGTCCTGTGCCTCTCTCTCTCTCTCTGTGCTTTTACTGATCAGCACCACACCGAACGAACTCGCGCGTCAAGCGAGTCCGACCCTCTGTCGAGAGGGGCCGGTATCCTATGGAGGCGGTGCTCATCAACGAGCGAGCGTTGTTGGTGGTTGTGGGTATGTATGTGCGGTACACGGTTTTTTCTGCGGGTTTTATGCTAGAGCGTCGGGCGCCGGGATTATATGACCATTTCTGGGTACAAAGTCGACCTCTTCCGGGTACACCACTAACCAATATCGGTCACACCAGATGGTCCTAATGCCAGCGGAAGTTGTACCCGATGGAGGTTTCTTCCGAAATGGGTACGATGTTTTTTCGGCCAAACAGCTGACAGCCTGGGGGTGCAAGCGTGTTGATTTCTAAGTGTACCCTAAAGTGGTGATAAAGTACCCGGGTATATACCCGTTTCTGGTTATTGATTGGTCTTTAAAAAAAACAAACGTACTTGATAACAAACTAACCTCTACTCTCATTCACGCATCTCCCTATTTCCTCTTCCTTTCCCCGCTCGCGCGACTGGCCGGTAAAAATCGTCCTTTGATAACGGACTAACCTCTCTCGTTCTCACGCCTCTCCCTCGTTCCTTGTCCCTCTCGGTTTAAAAAAAAACGCCAACTCCAGACAAGAAAAGACCCATTTTCGACAAGCTAATCTAGCAAGAGCACCATGTCGAGCGATGGCATCAAGGCGATGTTGAAGGAGAACGTGGCGAAGATGAACCAGGTGGAAGGGTTCGACGTCGTGATTGTCTGCACCAACAACGACCCCCAGGCCACGTACTGGCAGCAGCGACTAGAGGCCGCCAAGTGAGAAAACCGTTTTTTCCTGCTGTGCGCCCGTGATGTGAAGGAAAAAGCCCTCCTCTATCAACTCCCACTGCTGGATGCTGTTGTTATTGTCATTTTTCACGGCATCATGTTCTGGGTTGAGAGTAGGGCCGTCCCTCCTCTTACTGTGAAACAGGTGTGCTATGCATTCGGTGATGGGAGGCGAATGAATCTATGCGCTGCTGTCCACAACTGTCTAAGTCTCTGGTGGCCGCTTCCATGCACTTTCTGCTATGAGTACGCATGTTCATACTCAGTAATTTCAACACATTTTTTATTTATTTTTCTAGAGCCCGGGTACCCTCCCATGCGCTTGTACATGCTCAGTAATTTCAACACAATGTCTAGAGTCCGGGTACCCACTCCATAAACAAATGCGCATCATACGAAAGCTACCGACCAGGGCTTTCGACCGACCACCCCTCATCATGGTGTGACGACATTTGTTGCCCCACGTCTGCGCAGGGGCTCTTCGGTGGCGAAGGACGCAACCGTGCTGGCCGTGTACGAGGACTGGGCCGGAGGTGCGGGAAACGCTCTCGGCACGCTGTACGCCTACCAGAAGGCCACCGCCCTCGCTGAGTCCAAGGGCTACGACCTCGCGGGAAAGATGAAGGCCGGCGAGGTGTGTGTGTGTTTTCCGTCTTTTGTACTGTGTTTTGTGTCTTTACACCGCGCTTTTTCGGACAAGTGAGGGGCACTTTTTCGAAGCGACTGGCGACAAACGATGAGAATGTGACTGGCGTTCGAAGTGCGGCGCGTGAGACGTTGTTGGAGATACGATTATAAAAACCTAGAAGATGAAAGTGTCGACGAGGCAGGGTAAGAAGGGGGTCAGCAAGTTATGTGTGGCGCAACCGGTGGCAACCGATACTTTTGATGATCGCTCGCCCTTGGGGAAGGGGTGCGAACGGCACCTCTTGTCGAAAAGGGGACACATGGCCAATGGCCAAATGGCTGAGGCAGGCAAGCAACAAACGACCCCCCCCCCCCCCCCCCCCCCCCCCTTTTCCCCATTTCCTTTTCTCCCCCTACCCCCCAAATCCCAAAACCAAAAAACCTTTTAATAAACCTCCCCAAAAAACCTGGGCCTTTTCCACCCCCCCGGCAAAAGCACCCGGCTCCCCCCCCTGCCCGGGTCCCAAAAAAAAAAAAAACCCCGGGTTCAACTGGGGGGGACCGGCGAAATTAACGGCCAACCCCCCCCCCCCACCCTCCCCCAAAGCGTGGGGAAACAAAACCGCGTTTATCGGAAAAACCCCCAGGGGCGCCCCCCCCGGGTTTGGGGG